AATTGATTCCGATTGATCGATTTCTTGAGTTCGAACTTAGAGTTTCAGCTGAAGTAAAAAAAAAAATGAACAAGATCTGAGAAATTGAGTGAGGATCTGTTGATTTAGACATCAGTAGTGGCTCCGAGCAGGATCAAGACCTGCTCTGATACCATTTACGAGTTGAGATTCAGAGAGCATTTATGGTTTTGAGAAGATTTGATAAAACTGAATTTTCATTCTATATTGGAAAAAAGTTCTGTACACTCTACATATACATTAACACACGCATGTACAATACTTAACTACAACTATAGTATTTACACAAAACCCCTAATCTTTACAGAATATACAAACCAGTCCCTAATCATAACTACTACTCTTCATATACACAAATCAAGACAGTATATTCTACACTATATTTACAATATTTACAATATATATATATATATATATATATAAAATCGTAGAACCGGGAAAGGAATTTTCTATCATCCCAAATAATAATAATAGTTCATGTATAAGCTGTAAACAATTTATATTCATATGTATTATTGTGTCCGTACGAAAAATAATAGATGATCACTTGGATGGGCACCTCAATTCATTCAAATCATATATTTGGGAGTACTCTTTCGAACTTCTCCCAATGGCTAAATATCATCCACGTTATGTGCGACAAAATCTAACATATTAAATAACCAATTTATAAAATAAAATATTAGTATAGTGATACTTTTTCCAAAAAGAAAAATGAATTTCTTCTAGCACTGATCGTGCCGAAAGTGGAAAAAGAAAAACCTGTTGAAATAGTTGGCCTTAAAATGATTTTGAGACATATATGTCACCTAGATTTCCGAAAAAAAAAAAACTAAAAAACAGAACGATTATTAATAATATTGGAGGGAGGCAAGAAAAAAACACAAGTCACATACACACAGCAAAGGGACCAGATCAACCCCTGAGATGTCACACTATGTTTTGTCCGAACATATAAAGGGTGTATGAGTATGAAGTATGAACCTTTAAAATACTTGCAAGGGGATGGAGATAACAATATAGGGTCAAATATTTTCCTACTCGTGCTATATTTCTTAACCAGCAATTGTTATGCATTGGATTTAATAAATACTCCTTTCTTCCTATCTTAGTTTTAGAACACAATTTTATTTATTTTAAATACAACTAAATTCTGGTCACGTGCATTGTACGGGATAGGTTTAGTTATAAATTTTTTGTTGATAATGTACAAACAACTATTTATTTGTTCTATTATTTAAATTTTGAAGGTTTAAATAAAGTAAAATGATCGTGATGAAACGAAATAATAGTTAAACGTTAATAAGTCAAAATATCAAAAAAAAAAAAAAACTAGTAAAATTTGGTCAAAGAATCATACATCGTATCTATGAAAGATTTGAGACCGATTTTTTGGGACACTCCACTGATTGTTAACTTTATTTGAAATGGGAGAACAATTCGCTTATATCCGCTATTATACAGACTCAATAGTGTATAAATAAATTTGAAATATCATATTACATTCTTCTCTACATTTTCCAACATAATATAATCAGACATACTGATAATCTTTATTCAACAAAGAAGTAGAAAAAAAATACCGACTTAATGCAATTTTTTGGAAGATGATTCTGTGAAAATTTCTACCATAATACTACTACAAAGTATAATCAAAAGGAGGCTTATATACACAGTGAACCAACTTTCAATGATCCATGAATAATAAAATGCAGAAAAAAAGTGTACAACGAATTAATTTTAGCAAAATGGTTAAGTAGAGATACAAATCAAATTTCGTACCACCACCGCCAAAAAGAAGAACAAATCAATGCAGATAATTTACAAATATGATTAGTAATCTCTTCGAATTTGCCATATATCTCCCATTTACTCTCTTTTAGTTTGAAAGGGGAAGAACACCATTAGCGGGATGCGAAACCAGGCTAGAATGCAATATGTTGATTCTATTTGTGATTTGTTTCTTCATAGTTGTTGAGAAGTGTTTTTTTAAGTGTCAGTCCAAAAATATGAGTGGAACCCGACCTTACTTAAAAAGGAACGTCCCTATAATTTTTATTTTTTAATTTTTTTAATTTTTTACAAAAAGCCTTTCTTGAGGACAAAGATAGATCTAGCTTCTTTATCACCGAAGGGGGCCAAAATGAAATCGACCAACTGGCCAATCTGTCTTATGAGTATGACTGATGATGCGAATGGTCTCCAATGATATAAACATGCATTTTCATAATCAGTATACGTACGTGTTCCCATTTCATCCGCCTAATTCTTCATTATATTGATTATTCTTGGACACTCATAATTATAGTTTTACACCCGGGAATATATATACCAATACCATTGATCATGAAAATATAGTAGTTTTTATTTCGTGAATTACGTACATTCAAAAGTACAAATTACTCTCTCCGTCCCATAATTATTGTTCAGTTTAGGTTTTTATTTTTGGTTCAAATTGTACTAAAAGTGAAATCTCAAACTAGACAATAATTTTGGGACAGAGGGAGTATATATTAATATGAGACGGAAGAGTACTACAAAGCAACTCTCACACATTGAGAAAATATTCTTATATCGTATTCTAAGTTATATTTTCTCAAATTTTCTTAAATTCCCTTCTTTTTTTTTTCTTTTTTCTCTTTCGACAAAGGGAGTAAATAATAATGACATCAAATCTCTTGATTTTTTCCTCAAAGTCTTCATATAGCATTATGATTTCTAAATTTACGGTTAAAAAAAAAGTTGATGCTATTTAATTTCCATTCTAGAAGTATTCATCTTGATCTTTTTAGGAACAACAAAGAAGTCCATAAATTATTCAAACATTGTAAACTTTCTAGAGTTATTGTCTTTTTTTTTTTTTTTTTCTTTAAGATACTTGTTATAGGTATTACACTTTTTAAACAACGAGACTATTATCTAGAATTTATAACTACACTACAATTATTCTTGTGTAAGCTTTTTTGGTGTTCAAAGATTGACATATCTCACTTATTATAATTAGCGCGCTTTGTTCTATTCACCGGAATAACTGTTTTAGGTTGAGTGGTTTGTCCTTGTTCACTAAGACAACTCATGATTCACGCGCTGAGTGTTATTGTAAATAATACCGAACAATCAACAATTTGTTTCGGTGTAGACATGATTAATATGCACATTCAATTCCAATCACAGCCCACATCATACCCCGTATAGCACAAACTAGACCATCATGGATTCCAAGGCTATTTTACTTCTGCCATCACTTATCAACCTGCCATGCATAATCCACGCAAGTTTTATTCATTTTGGTCTTTTTTTCCTATAATGAGGGAGACCGAAACTCTTAGTACAAATTATCACAAATAAGAAATAAAACACTGGTAATATCATATTTGAATTATTGTCATGTCTCAACTGGTGGTGTAAGGAAGGATTGATATTCACCAGGGTTTGAGAAATAATATTCACCATACACTAATCAGCAACAAAATTAATTTCTCGATAAACATGCATGCTTATTTTTATGGAACTGATGTTGTACTACAGTAGAAATTAGGTTGTTTTATTGTGCTTTACAGAAAATAGCAAATTAAAATGGCAGAAGAAGATTAAATGCTTAATTATGTGTTACACCGAATTAATTAAGTGTGAGTTTCTTTGGACACATGCATGTACCATGAAATTTTAAGAAGACAGATATGACATAGGTACATTGATATTAAACTCCATTGGACCTAAATAGACCTTTTTAAGAGATAAATGCTTCCAGACAATTAGTTGCCACTAGTTAATTTTCGATCTACAAATGTTAATTTGTTCTTTCCTCAACATTATAATGCATTCCAACGTGGAGGAAAAAAAAAAAAAACAAGTTATCATAATACAAGACACGAGAACTACTTAACTAGCAAAAGGAAAAAAAAAACTTTCGCAAATGTTGCTATTAAAATATTCAAAGTGCTGCTTTATGGTGGGATATGACGAGTATGACTCTCTCTGTTTGTTGAAATTAAATTAAACAAAAAAAAAAAAAAAAGTACCAGATGGAGCTACCATCTTATGACTTCTTGAGTTGATATCTCGTTTGCCCTTTCTGAAACACCTTCAAATAATCAAATCACAATAGATTAAACAAAAAAAAAAAAAAGGACATATTTTGCTGAACCAATAATCATGCAGAGAAAAAGAATTATTCTTCTTGTAAATCCTTTTTTTTTTTTTTGTGAAATCTTCTTGTAAATCCAGCCGCAGTTGGAATGAAAGGCAACAAAAGAAATGAGAAAAACTCAAAAGTTCACCTACCAACAGTGAAGGAATTAAAGTGATGCTTAGTTTCAATTACGCAGGCGCTTCAACTAATTAAAGGAGGGGCAGGCTTCACTTGATGGGCTGTATCTCTTTGAAAAGAGATATCGAGTGATCGACAAAAACAACAACTAACAAACAAGCACAGTAGTCAGACTTCGATTATGAATCTGCATCATTTATTTTATTGTATGCATATTAAGTGATACTACCTCCGTCCCATAAAAAAATAATTTTCAAATTTATACTAAAAATAATATAAAATTTAAAATTCAATGTGTACTTTTTTGTTGAGATGGAGGGAGAATATTCTTATTTTATTTTTATTTCATAGTAGTAATTAATTGTGTTACTTCATAAATGAAATAATTTGATCTGATTAAGATTAAAATCAAGTTTATGTACTCTTTTTGTTACCAAAAAAATGATTCATTTTATTCGACTCTTTTACTTCAATAAAATCACAAGTTTCTTTCTGGAATAACAAAATAATATTTATGAAAAATGATGACGTCTTTCCTATGAAATGCTAAAGCAGAAAAATTATTAGAGAATGATACCAAGAATCTTAGCTCATCATGCATATTGATGCATAAATATAAATCCTATAGCTCCTCAGTTCTCAAAGAGACCTAAATAGAGTTTCACTCACATTCCTATACAAAAAAAAAACCTCCTTCCTTTTCCCATAAGCGCCCCCGAGATCTTCCAACAAACACACCATGATCATGACCTATTCAACCCTAGATTCCACCACCAGTTTTTCGAGCGGCGTAACCACCGTAGAGTGCCACAAACAGGTTCGGTCATGGCGGCTCCTCCGCTCGCTCATGGAGCTTCTCATCCGCGGATGCGGCTGCCTTCTGGTGGAAGGAAATGACTTCCGACACAAGAAACATACTCATCACTACAACGTCAGCCAGAACCCTAGAAACTTCTACACATATTCCACCGTAACGGGGACCATATTCGGCTCCCGACGTGGAAAAGTGAGCTTTTGCATCCAAAAAAACCCTAAATCCACCAGCCCGGAACTCCTCCTCGAACTAGCCATTCCCACAGCAACTCTGGCTAGGGAAATGAAAGGAGGGTTTTTAAGAATAGCCCTAAAATCCAAAAATAGTAGTAGTACAACTACTTTTTTGAATGGTAATAATTCTTCGGGTTTTTGTTCTCTTCTTTCCATGCCGGTTTGGAAAATGTTATGCAATGGAAGAGAAGCTGGATTTGCTGTGAGGAGGAGTCCATCAGAAGTTGATGTGGAAATATTGCAACATATGAAATCAGTGGTGGTTGGAGCTGGTACTTTAAGTGCAAAACAACTCCAAAATCAAGATGAAGAAGATGGTGATATTATGTACTTGAGAGGGGAATTCCAAAGGGTATTTCATAAATCTTCCAAATCCGAATCTTTCCATTTGATTGATCCAGATTGCAATGCTAGTCAGGAGTTGAGTTTTTTCTTCCTCAGGTCTTAATTAGAAATATTTTACCCAAAAAAAAAAAGTTTTACTAGTGCATTGAAAATTCATCATACATAGTATAGAAATTATTAAAGCTTAATTAAATGTGCTGCCAACTTAATAAATGGTGTATTCGTAATCATCTATCTTTTTTCTTTTCCTTTTTGTTTTTTTGGTTGGATTTGCAAGTGGCGGCCACACCTCCTAATGTCCTTTTTTTTTTGGAGTTGCTTTATTGCAAAGCTCTCTTGTCTGTATTGTTCGTTGGGGCGGTTGTGGTAAGCTTTTTCTTGATCCACTTCTCTAAAGTGTATATGTATCAGACCATTGAATCTGCTGGAATCCACAGTTTGATTAGTTTTATTAATATTACTATTATTATCATAAGTGGCTGTTTCATATTTATAATACTCGTGTTGTCTTAAAAAAAAATCCACTTTAAATTTTAATATTTTTTTTCCAAACAGTGAAATTAATTTATATATCCTCGATCGGTATATATGATTGTTTGTTTAGTTTATTAATGCCTGGGAGCAGAGCAACTTATACACTAAGAAAATGCTAAAGCAACTTCTGTTTACTATATTCTACTCGATTCTCCATGATGTTCTTGCTTTCATTTGTCGAAAAAGGGCAACTAAATACTACGTATTTATTCTATCTTGTATAGATGATTATGTCTTAGTACAGATAAGCTCGAATTGATTGAGTATTAAGTTTCTAGTTCTTGAGATTAATAATATAACTATATACGCTAATTATTAATGAATTATAATTCTGCATGTTGCAGTAGTCAGATTTGAGTAATAAGGTCAAGTGCTCAAACGGTGATCTTAAGATAGAGGAAGAACCATTATGGAAAGGAAAAAAAAAATAGTGAATAGATTTCTACATGAGCTTAACTTACTCCCTCCTTTCTAGACGGAGTCACGAGACTATTGAATTATAAAATATTAAATTTTAACTTATAGGGTTATAAACACAACATGAAATGCTTGACATAGCTGATATAATCGCGAAGTCAATTTTGGGTTAGAGTGACTTTTGAGGTAGATTTTTTTTTCCCCCGATTCACGATCCATTGAGTTAAAAAAAAAAATTAATGATTTTTTTTTAGAATGAACTATTCTCATAATTGTTGTCCAATCACGATTTATTCTAAAAGGTGGCACTACTACAAAAAGGTCATGTAAGGACGCTCAAAAGTGTCCCGATATGTAGCTTATTAGGACGTATCGGCTATTGGGACATATGCAAAAGTGTCCTCCAGCACAATATCATAATAGGTCTATAAGACACAAAGAAGTGTCCCGTTTGATTAAAGCGTCCCGTTAAATGTTTCCGATTGAGACACTCTTAAGTGTCCAAATAAAATTTTCCAATTGAAACACTTTTAAGTGTCCAAATAAATGTTTCCAATTGAGACACTTTTAAGTGTCCAAACTAGTTCTTTTTTGTACGGACGTTTCAATGTGTCCCAATAGCATCTTCGAAAAAAATAAAAAACAATAAAGAAAAATTCTAATATAATTATTGAACAATCTTCCATTACATCTCAATTGACAATTAAAAAAAATCTCATGGCCAACAAAAAGATACACAAAATCTCATCGCCAACAAAAAGATACCTAAATCTCATCATTTGAGAATGCATACACTTATCTAAAGAACCAAAAAAAGACGCTAAATCATCAAAACCTTCAAGTAGATGAGCTCAATCGTTAAAACCTTCAGATGGATGAAAAGTAGCAGCCAGCCAACATCATTACCCATAAATCACAGAACTCTTAAGTGATAAAAATGGGCAGCCAACCAACACCAAGACTCATCGTTAAGAATCATCATTATCACTTAAATTTCAACACTAACAACACTTACTAAACATTGGAAAGAACTCAGAAAGCTATTACTTCGTCACACTTGGAAACAACTTAATGCATGACAACAGCGAAAGAAAAATAAGAGACCAAGTTCCACAAGAGCATACCTTTTTCTAAGGTAGACACCAAGTATTAAGGTAGTTTATCCAAGCTGAATTGAGAGCTGGCAGAACCCACATTAAACCACCAAAAGTATTGACAGTGACAAGAATCAAAGTTAGGAAAAAAAGAAAAAGGTTCACCTCAATTAGCCACAATCTTATGGGGTGAGTAGGGGGAAGGTCAGCCATGGATTTCCTTCCGAAAATAGAGCAGCAGCAACTGGAGTTAAAAATTAAAGGGTTTCACAATCTTTTTTTCACAGAACTAGACAGAAAATTTTTGTGGCATCACAATTATAAATTTTCCATCAAAGTTTTATCTTTAAAGGAACCAAGCAAAAAGTTCTTTATGATTTCCAAATCTAGAGCAATCCCATAATGTAAGCACAAGTTGAAACATCACATTCCATACAACAAATAACATAACTTAGAATTTTAAATGCAACAGAACTCTCCAATTTTTGTATGCCATAAACACATTGAAGTCGGATATATCAGCCTGACTGTCAACAATAGAAAGCGAAAATCAACTAATAAGATCTACCTGGGCTTATAGTACTGTCAAAAGCCTCACGATTTCCTTCGAAATTGAAGAAGCAACAACCCGGGTTAGAGGTTGAAAGATTTCAAGGCCCTTGTAATTGAACTGGACATCAAAGGATTGCAATCTATCAACTCATGCACAGAGTCCCAACTAGAAAAAAGTTAACCAATGTAAGAGATGATGCTACTTAGTATCAAAAGAAAGAATTCACTACAGCTGCTATAAAAATAGGTAATGTCTGTCTTAGTATCAAAAGAAAGAATTCACCACACCACGTTCAAATGTAATAATAATTATGTAACAGTTAAATTAATTAGCAATGGCAACAACGATCATTATATCAGCCCTTGAGCACTATATACCTTGATGGGCAAAGAATGGATTCAAATAAATTTTATGAGAGCAGAGTTTAAAGTCAAGGAGAAAGAGCACATCAACGTTAGTCTTTTCAATCATGAGTTCTAAATTTTCAGTTTTAGAGTCATAAAGATACCATGTTCAAAGCAGAATTTCTTTTAATCAACCAAAGTATCTAGTTTGCATGGAATTCAGACCACTGATGATCACAGTTGCAATGACTTAAGATCCACTTTCATAAACAACCAACAATCAGGAACAAAAGTAAGATGTCAAGCATGATTATCATTGCATCTAAGGGAATGAAACCTTCAAACAATCAGGAGTGCAAGGAACAGCGTAGCTACTCATATTATAATCAAGGAGCTAAGCAATAAAAAAAACAACACAGAATAATTTCAGCTTAGCATCATTAACAACATAGTCCATACAAACAATTGGGCATACTTCACTTAGAAAAGAACAGTAATTCATCCCATATATGCAAATTGAAATCACTCACCCAAAAACGAGAACAAAACTTCAAAATTAGTACTCATGTTTCCAACAAATACAAATCGGAAATCAACTCCTTTGTTTGCTTGAGAAGCAGCTGCACTTGCAGGATCTGTCAATGCATTAAAAATTGTTTCTCATCAATATAAAAAACCATAGGACTGCAACCAGGAAGGAACCCTAGCAAACATGGAAAAAGATGAAATTGACCTTGTATAATGGCACTCCTCCTTCTATCTCCTTTTATCGCTTCTTTATTTCATCCAACTCCTGTGAATTCAATCGATCAAAAAACTATACAGATCCATTGAATAAACCCACAGAGAGAGAGGGGTAGATAAAAAGGCAAACGAGTGTGGAACCTTAACGGCATCGTATTCAGGTGCTGGTCATGTCGACGTCGGCGTTATCTCCTTCCATTTCACCTTCGTCGGGGATTTTACTGCCATACACGCCATGCTCTTCTTCGTCCATCTTCTTATAATGTCCGATTGAGTCGGAATCTAAGTAGACCCGAAAGTAGCAGTTCCGATTAGCCATTGGGCTCAGTTCAAAACTCGAACGTAATCGTGCAAAGGTTGTGACCAGGTCGAAGCTCTAGTTCCGACATAAGTATACATGCTTTTCGCTTCAAAAATCTACGCGATTGCATGTTGTGGAGGTTGCGGGCGGCGGAGCAAGAGGTTGAGGCAGAAATGGGGCGGTGGAGAAGGAAAAAAAGGGGAAAACTCCAAGGGATCAGATTTGTTGACTTGGAATAATAAAGTGGGACTTGTAGACCTTAAAGCAAAATTCCCATTTCCCTCTTAATTAGCCTTTTTCCCTCCATTTTAATTCCAATTTCCAGTACAGTATAATTTTTGGGAGTAAAATTCCCTCTAATCTAAAATTTAGTTTTGGGGGGGCTTTTCCCTCCTTTTTTTTAAAAAAAAAAATGTTATACATACTTTTGTACTAAAATAAATGCGATTTTTTTTCCAAAAACATACCGTTTGCTTAAATCTTATCAATTATTAGACACAAAATTTTTTTATATTAGTTATAATGGATGTATTATTGTTGAAATTTTAAGATATCTATTAAAAAATTCTCATTAAATCAAAATGATTTGCTTGTTATATTCAAATAATATCATAAAAAATTAATTTGAGGAAGGAATGGTGTACGTATTTAACAAATTCTTATTAAAAATGTGTTATTAAAAATATATATAGGTTATAATTGTGTTACTCCATATCATGAAATAACATTATTTTCAAAATTATATACATAGAGCTTATTATAATACTCTCTCCGTACGTCCAATATAACTATTCCACTATAAATTGTAAATTTTCGTCTCAAAATTATTATCCAGTTTGAATTTTCATTTTTAGTTCAAATTATACTCTAAGTAAAAATACAATCAAGACAACAATTCTAGGACAATGTGAATACTTATTAAGAACAATTTACAATGAGACAATGAAGAATGTTTTTGTGAAATATATGAAGTACTTTAACAGATTAAACTAATACAGTGAGACATAATGGATATTGGATATAGATGAGGTACAATCTATCTATCCCAAAATGATAGTCCAGTTAGGATTTTTAATTTCATCAAAATTTGCATTAAAAGTCAACATCTAAACTGGAGAATCATTTTGAAATTGAGGGACGATATAATAGGAATACTTGTGTGTTTGTGTGTGTGTGTTTGTCTATTTATATATCATTTTATTTAGAAGATAAACTCGTAACTGTATAAGCAATAACTATGTGTACTGTAAAGAAAAAAGTCAATTTCAAATTATTGATATGTAAATGCCTTCGTCATGGTCTAAAATTACATAATGGAATTAGAGACTCATGTATTATTTAACAGTGGTACTTTTAATTAATGAAGAAACAAAATATGTCACGGTGAAAAATCTAATGGGGTGAAAATATAAAATTCAGGGTGCCACACTATTATTACTTAAAGTTTATAAGTACTAATATATATATATATATATATATCATTTTAACTATAGGGGTTATTCTAAAAAATTAAAGGTGTTAAAATACATTTACTAAAAACTAGAACAACAATATGAATGTACAAAATAATCATCAATTAAACATATAAATATATAAGTAGTGCAATCAAACCCCAATTCTTATTTTTTAATTAAAAAAATTGAGTTGAATAAAATACTTATTTTATGACGGGACCTTTTAAAACGTCCCATTAGTTACAAGTATTGGGACGCTTATATTTATTGTGACATTTAAAAGTGTCTCTTTAAATAACTTCAAATTGACACTTTTAATTGTCTCAATATATTTATTATTAGGACAATTTTAAGTGTCATACCCTCATATTGGGACGCATTTTATGAGGACGCATATAATTGTCCCGTTAAAATAATATATTGGGATACTTTTATAGAAATGTCCCAATATATCCATATTGGGACGCTTGTACTGAAAGCGTCCCAATAATTGCGTCCTAATAGCTACATTTTGTTGTAGTGTGGATTATTGAGACACTTTCTTAGTAAATCATATAATTTACTACGAAATTCAACTCTCGAAAAATTTAGTGTATCTTCACAGTTAAGTCTCTATCAGAAAATTTACGATTTATTAGTTTGAATTATTAAGTCATAGGTGCAAAACCGTGTAGTGATATTTCCCATTCGTTATGTTTGTGATATAGTTTTGACGGTTCGACGACAATACTCTAACTAAGACGCTATAGCAAATATATATATAATATATATAGCAGTCTATATTGACTGGTTGATATTGGATTGCTGTCGAAAAGAAGAAACATAATTTTGGCAGTCCACCTATCACCAAAGAAATCTAGACTGTTGGCTGTGGAAAAGAAAAACTACAAACTTATTATTATTATTTTTGTAAAAATCTGAATACATGGAAGAATTACAACCTTTATTATATGTATTGAATAGAAATTCAATTGATGATCAAACGACTCCACGGAGGGAAATGCACTATACGAGGTTCGAAATGGTTGAGAATGAGAGATCAATTATAACTAAAGTTGTAGCATTCACTATATGCAATTTGTATTTCATATATAATTATAATATTTCTAAAAAAAAATTTATGTCCGATATGAAATTCACGTCGTAATAGTACATTCAATAGGTGCATCAGTTCTACAAAAAAAAGAAAAAAAAAAAACAAAAACTTAATAAAAGGGTTAGCCATATTTATACAAACTAATGGGACAGCTCAAAAAAATTTTAAAAAAAAAATTTAAGGGAAAAGAAAACCATGTGTTTAATTAATCATCGTAAAGCTTTCTTTTCTTGTGGTTTACTAAAGGCTTTTTGTGAGATAAAAGAAATGGACAATTTAGTGAAGTCCTGATTCGAAGAGCATAAAGACATTCTCATAATCAAAACTCTTTTTTTTTTTTTTTTTTACAAGAACAAGGATGCTTTTGTAAAAGAAAGTACGACAAATTCTACTCCATCCGTCCTAGAAAAATAGTCCATATTGAATTTTCGATTTTGTGCAATCTTTTGGAACAGAGGTAGTACTTCTTTACTCTTTCTGCGTGGGATTAAGGGAAAATAGTGTTGGTTGGGGAGAATGTTACCATTATTGAAGAAAATAATTTTACAAAGGAATAAAGGTGATAAAATAAGAACGAAAGTAAACCCGGCCCATTGGGTTCAAGGAGCTAACCGCCTAAAAACCGGGTTCATTCCTGGGAACGCGCCAATTTCTTCACATCTCCAACTAACCTTCATACTTACCAGTTTCCTAACTTTCCACTAAATCAGCTTATTTTGGCTGTCAATTCACTAGCCTTTTCTATTTTCACCTTCTCTTCAAACTCTGAAACGCCGGTTGCAAACAGTTGCCTATGACTAGCAGTTCTTGCAAATAATATACTCTGTCTATCATCTACTATATTCCAGAGAGTTATAATGTCTGCAACAGAAGTTTTATTCCAATGGGGTTGCCAAAATTTCTCAACATTTTCAGTTTGGATTTTCACGAACGCAATCACCGATTGCCATTGCACAGTGACGGAGGAAACCGGGAAACCCTTGTTCCCGAAAACGTTAATGTTCCCAGGAATGGGATTGGGAGATCATTCTGGAGCCTGTTGGGTCTCTTAACCTGGAGTGAGTCGATGATCTTTCAATCATTTTTGTTTAAATTTTTTGGTTAATACTTCTATTTTAGAGTGGTATTTTAGTTGGTCTTTCTTATAAGTTGTTCAGATCGATGGTGGATAGTTTAATTAGACCACTGGTGTTTATTGGTTTGCGAATTTTAATGGTGAATCGAAATTGTTTGTTTTAATAGAGAAAAATGATGGTGGGTCGAGGACTGAAGAAGAAGAGAAAGTCTATTCATGGCTATATGCTTTGGCTCAATCCAATAAAGATTTGGTGTACGAATATGTGCGATCCACTGAAAGAGGTGACAAACTTGTGCTCTCTAATCATTTGCGTTATTTTCTCTGTGAAGTTTTTAAGTTTCTTTCTACTTTTGTTTTTTGCTGCTAAAAGTTTACGCTCCTTAAACTTAGTATGATTGCAAACTACTCCCACTGTTTCTAGTTTGAATGTCCAATGTTAGGCGAACAATCTTGGCCCATTTTTATGTTTTTAACACAGAAGACATGTGGTAGAGTGTTTTCGGTTTGATTCAAAGAGGGACAATCTGATGTAAACCTAAAGCATTTTGATAGAGTGATTCATTTTTCAGCTGGTGGACCAAATATCTCAGAAAGTTATTAGTCTAATAGCGGGTGTTCCCCCCGCCCCCCTCCCCCCACCCACTTTTAAAGTAGTAAAACATTCATGCTTCCCAAATGAGGACAGGCCAATACATTAAATTGAATATTGTTATAGTATTATTCCTCTGTAGGCTTGAGCTTCAGGGAGGCTGCGCAGAGACTGAAAGATGCCGGGCCAAATATTCCGATCAATTTTACTTTCCCAAAATGGTGGCATCTTCTTTGGAATTCCTTGTTTCATCCCTTCAACATCATTCTTGTTGTTTTGTCAGTTATGTCTTACATCACTAGTGATGAACCCAATGGAAGCATCATGCTTGTACTAGTCTTCATAAGTGTCTCCCTACGATTTTATCAGGTACCTCTGTCTCTCTCTAGTTCTAGTCACAATATCAGTGGTTTTCTACTTGACTCTTAAGTATAGAACATCGTTTTTCAGGAATATAGTAGCTCAAAAGCTGCAATGAAACTCTCAGAATTTGTACGTTGTCCTATAAAAGTTCAAAGATGTGCTGGTAGAACAGTTCAAACAGAATTAGTTGTTCAAGTAGATCAATGCGATGTTGTTCCTGGTGATATTATCGTTTTTGAACCTGGGGACCTTTTCCCCGGTGATGTGAGATTGTTGACCTCAAAAAACCTGTTAGTGAGGTATACTCTAAAGATATTCTGCTCTCTAGGTTAACCAATTATTGTCTTCAGTTGTTCCCCCTCAGAACTTAAATCTTGTTGCTTTCTAGAACAGTCAGTCTTCACTAACGGGAGAGTTTGGAAGTACCGAGAAAACAGCAGATGTTAGAGAAGATGCCAGCACCCCGTTACTGGATTTAAGGAACATTTGCTTCATGGTGAGTCAAAATATCCTTAAAACTCTTTCTCCAACTTAAAAAACCAATTCACAACTTGTATAGAATGCATTTCTCAGAGCTGAGAAAAATAAATGTTTCTCTTTTTGCCTTAGGGAACAAGTGTAGTATCAGGTGTTGGGACTGGTCTGGTGGTCTCTACTGGAAGCAAGACTTATATGAGCACCATCTTTTCAACCACAGGGAAGCTGCAGCAGCCAGATGACTTTGAGAGAGGCATTCGGCATGTTTCTTACGTACTCATCGCCCTCATACTTGTAGTTGTCACTATAATAGTCCTTATTAATTATCATGCATCGCATGATTCCAGTGAGAGTATAGTGTTTGGCATTTCAGTTGCTAGTGCTTTGACCCCTCAGATGCTTCCGCTCATCATTAATGCTAGTCTTGCAAAAGGCGCACTAGCTATGGCAAGCAAAAGATGCATAGTTAAAAGCTTAAGTGCTATACGGGACATGGGATCCATGTAAGTTGGATTCATTACAGAGTTTTTTTGGACTTGAAATAATCAACAAAATATGAGCACATAAATCTGTTAAATCCATTTTTTTTTTTTTTCTGTTTTTGGATTGTCAAAGATCTTCTATAGTTCGGTATCCATATTGTACATCTCTTCCCCTCTCTGCATGAACTCCTGTGATATGACAATTCTACTGATATCTTTTTGTTGTAGGGATATTATATGCATTGACAAAACTGGTACTCTGACCAAGAATACTGCTATCATGATTGATTACCTAGATTGCTGGGGCACTCCAAAGGAAAAGCTGTTGAATTATGCCTTCTTGCATGCTTACTTTAAAACACAGCAGAAGCATCCTTTAGATGATGCCATAATGGCATATGCATATGCAAATAATTTTAGGTTTCAGCCATCCAAATGGAGTAAAATTGATGAAATTCCGTTTGATTTTACAAGAAGAAGGGTCTCTGTTATTTTGGAGCCTAAGATATTGGATATATCGTGGAACACCTATTTCAGAGGCAGAGTGTTGATAACTAAAGGTGCTCTGGAAGAAGTGGTCAAACTCTGTTCTTTTGTTGAGGATGATGATGGGACTAACTTGTCAACTTTCACTGTTCAAGATAATGAAAGAATTTTAAACATTTCTGAAAAACTAAGCAGCAACGGGTTACGGCTTCTTGGAGTTGCAATCAAAAGACTTGAGACGGTTTGTTCTCATCTTTCTCCCATTCATCATATCTTTTACAGTTATGCTCCTTTTTGTATAGATACTGACAAGTCCTTGGGTTTATATTTTCATATTAGTGCTACTGAAAATTAGTAAAATTGTTTCTATGAACGAGCAATGGAGGTGAATTTTAGAGTAATTGTTAACAACTCTGCCACATTGCTGTCATCGCCTTCATTTAAAGCCATTGTGAGGATAAGTTATGTGCTCTTCTCTAATTAAGTGAAGTCAATTCTATCTTGAAAACTTATTCTGTGTTCAGCATCATATATGATTTCCTCCCGAAGATACGATATTTGGATTTGTCTTATTGCAGGTAAATATTCCAGGAATGGTCTATGATGAACAAATTGAATCAAACATGATCTTCTTAGGCCTACTATCCTTTTTTGACCCACCAAAAGATTCGGCAAAGCAGGCATTGTGGCAGTTAGCTGAGAGAGGAGTAAAAGCAAAAGTATTGGCAGGAGACACACTTTCCCTTGCAATAAGCATTTGCAAAGAAGTCGGTATAAGAACAACTCATGTGGCTACAGGACCAGAACTGGAGATACTTGACACTGGTACTTTCCATGAGACAGTGAAAAGAGCAACAGTTTTAGCTAAGCTCACCCCAACACAAAAGCTCCGGGTAGTCCAATCTCTGCAGACAGAGGGGAACCACATTGTAGGATTTCTCGGAGATGGAGTAAATGACTCCCTCGCCTTGGATGCTGCCAATGTGGGTATATCCGTTGATTCAGGTGCATCAATCGCAAAAGATCTTGCTGACATTATCTTACTTGAAAAGGACCTCAATGTTCTGGTGGCCGGTGTTGATCAAGGTCGTGTTACGTTTGGGAATACTATGAAGTACATAAGAATATCAGTTCTTGCCAATCTAGGAAGCATCATTTCAATTCTCATTGCGACCATCTTTTTCAAATACGAACCCTTAACACCAAAGCAGCTTCTAGTGCAGAACTTTCTGTATAATTTGGGTCAAACTGTTATTCCCTGGGACAAGATGGAAGACAGTTATGTCAAGACTCCACAGAGATGGTCGCTCCGGGGCCTAGCAATGTTTACCCTGTGGAACGGTCCAGTTTGTTCGCTTTGTGACTTGACAACTCTCCTGTTTCTTTGGCTTTACTACAAGAGCAACTCGTCCACATCTTCGCACTTCTTCCATTCTGCTTGGTTCATCGAGGGACTCCTAATGCAGACCTTGATAATCCACTTGATTCGAACGGAGAAGATTCCCTTTGTCGAAGAGGTTGCCTCTTGGCCTGTCACACTTTCCACATTAGTGATTTCTTCTATTGGGATTGCAATTCCATACACGCCTCTTGGAAATGTAATGCAACTCATGCCTGTGCCAGTTTCTTACTTTGGGTTTCTGGTTGTGCTCTTTCTAGGTTATTTTACAGTTGGGCAACTTGTCAAGCGAGCATACCTTTTGGTGTTCAAGACATGGTTTTAATGAACAAATCCAGTCAATTACATTTTTCATTTGTGGACAAGTCTTGCTTAATAACTGAAGGTTACAGTTTGAAGCTTCATCAATTTGCAGCCAAATTCAACTCTTGATATTCCAATCTGCTAAGTTAGAAACTTTTTTTTGTTTTTTTGAAGGGTAGTTAGAAACTTAGAATGGCTATATAATATACTCCAATTCAATGGAGACAGTGGAACTACCTGAAATCCAAGAGCTGGAACAAATTGATGATCAACTTGTATATTGAATGAGTTACAAAATTTGTATACAATGCTGTGTAAGTTGTAACCAGACTATCCCCCTAGTTTCATGGGGGTTTCAGACATTTATTTTTCAGAAATCACCTAGAAATTACCCAAAAAAAAAAAAAGAGAGAGAGAGAGAGAGAATTTGAGGATGAGGAGGATAAGATAAAACCCCAACAGCAATGGGGAAAAAAATAAGCTATATGTGCAGTTTTTTACATTAATAGTCCTGTCATAATGGAAGCTTTCGTGCCATTAACAACCAGATGTTCTGTCAAAAGACGCAGCTGCAAATCATTGCAAGTAAAACGATAATGGTGGAGAAATTCCTTCTTGAAGAAGAAGAACCTACAATAGGAACATCATTGATGGTTAGTTTGTGGAAAGCGAGAAAGCTTGCTTTCTGCAAATTCATGAGGTTATGATAACAGACATCAGTTTAAAAGGTCTTACTTGATGGTAGTTGGAGAAAGTTATTCTGGAGATTCCACTCAAAATCCCAGTGCTTCTCATCATTTTTCAGTGTCCAGTAAGTCCATCCAAAGGAAGCTGCATTGTACACTTCCAGTTGAGCTCTCCCAAAATCTTGATAATCCATTTGGGATGCCGAGGTATTCCATTCATTCACCCACTCCCCTGAAATCAGTTCATCTCCAGAAGTCATGATTATGCAACTTGACATCCAAACAGGATGACTTTAACAAAACATTCAAATGTAGAAACTTTGGGGACGAAACAAGTTTTACAATGGAGAGCACAGAAAAGAAACACAAACTATTTCAAAGATCTAAACTGAATCAAGTTTAAGGACTTACCAATGAAAACAAGTGGTCCATTTGCACTGTTAAGAGCTTGTATTTGAGACTCTCTATTCTTGTATATGAATTGAATGTTATCCACTATACTCATGTTAGAGAAGAATGCGTCAAATAGATTATAGTAATGCAAATCCACTACTGTATTTGATGAGCCTAGGTCAGCTTGATAGAGTTCAATTGGATCTGCATTGCCGATTCTTTGGCAGAATATCACATATGCAGTGGACGAGTATTTACGAACAATCTGGTATCCCTGTTTGTAATATGGCACAAGGACATCCAGCGGTACTGTGGCGGCGCTTGGCTCATTTAGAAGTTCAATACCCAGCAAGGAGGGGTGTTCAGCATACCTGACAAGCAACATAGTTGAAACTAGCAATTTAGTTCTTCCACTTTAGAGATAAATATTTATATGCACATGATGAACTGACTAAAAGTTAAGGATTTAACCCAAAAAATAAATAAATAAACCAAAAATAGAAAACTAGAAGTTAAGGAGATGATCCACATAACTGCTAAATCTATAGTTCTAGATAAAGTGATGGATTGTCAAATTACAACCTTTTCTGTGAATTAAGCAACCAATCTTTTCCCAATATCAAATTGTTAAGTAGAGATGGCCTTTACTGTTTTAGAATCATTCTGAAGGGTACTGAAATTCTAAATCAATAAGGTTCAGAAGTTGAAGACTGCGATCATTAATTGATATTCTGTAGATGTACAAGTGTGTGCCGTACATGCAACTTCTGATTAGTAGAAGAAGGATGAAGAAGGGAAAGGATCTAAGTGGGAAAATGAACCATGGAAATGAACAAATCTGATTACAGATTAAATTTACAAAGGGATTCTCTTGAAAAGTAAATGGATTACAAATAGGCACCATTCCCAGAATCATGTTATCTAACAAGAGCATACCTGGAAGCCAGAAAGTCAATGACAATTAAAGTCTGTGAGATGTTCTCTGTAGATGTCCACCCTGTTGTACCATCTCTACTGGCACTATGTTCCATTCCATTTTGTGAGCCTGGAGCAGCATGTAGGTCAATTATGCACTTGATGCTATAGGCTCTGTGAAAAATGCTTTGTGTGAATATAATGAAATCGATACCAAAATACTTGAAAAATTGAAAAGAGTTGGTCTTACTGCGCCCATGAGAATGCATTATCAAGAGCTTCCAAACTTCCCCCAATGAAAGGTGCTGGAGGATCAGGATCAAAAGCTATCCACCAGCCTACTGGTATTCTGACAGTATTTATTCCATGTCTGTACAGAAAATCAAAATCTTCAACTGTGATAAAGGTGTTTCTGTGCTTCTGCAATGACAGTAGACGGTAAAAGGGGAACAACAAATCAGATCATTTGGAGCAGCTCACAACATGATTGGTTTTTGTTGATATGGTTATAAAACTACAGGTAGACTATGACAGAAGGCTGACAAAAGTTATGGAAACTAAAAAATTTTTGTAAGGGCTCCAATCTTTGGGCAATCCACTTAATGTACACAACGTTTTATTAAAGCAAACTTAACTTCTCAGCTATCCACTACAAGGAGTCAGAAACACGAAGCATATAAAAGAGTGCCAGAGAGTCATTTGAACAGAAGTAGTTGCAGCATTCCCTTTAGGCCACTTAGGGCTGTTGTCAATTACCTTTTGATTGTTCGATCAATTTCTTTTCTGAATTATTATCACGACCCAAAGCAATGAAAGCAAGCTTCCTATGAAAGATGACGAGACCTAGCTGATGGAGGTTTTTAAAGCATGACAGAATCAACAGTATACATCAACATATACCTTATAAACCTCTTGTGCCTTTGCATATCCGTATCCATTAGCCAGCTGGAAATCTCCATGCAAAGTATTAGCTGTGATGGTCATCTCGAATGTGGCAGCATTATCATCCCAACCTGGTGTCCCTACATAGTCTGCTGTGAGCTGGTTTGTTTCTGAAGCCTAAACAAATGCAGCATAGAACTATCACATTCTACCTTCACAGACTGATAAAGAGCCATTTGAGGTCTGAAGCAGACAGCCATATTCTCATACTTGGTTTTTTCAGGCAGTATAACTAACTTAAAGGAAAGGAAAGATGCAGGAGGAACAAGAAGTTCAAGATAAGAAAGAAGCAATATTAAACTTCTTCTTTAGTTTTAATCCTGGATGTTCTAGTTAGAAATAAATCATCAAACATGGCCATAGAGAGCAAATAACACACAGATGTATCAAACTGTATAAAGCTAGTGGAATTTTTTGAGTGAATGCCTTTGGATTCTTTGGAACATAACCATAAGTTCCACGATGACTTCAGGGTTTGTTTTCTTTTCCGACAGAAATTCCCTATTCTTAAGCATTATTAATTAATATGCTATTCTCACTCTCTCCCATCTTCTTTAATCAGTTAAGGAATACTTAACTATCGAATCGCCTAAAAATAGAAAATATGAATTTCATCATCTTATATGCAGCAGCACATAGTCAAAGTTGCCAATTACCACAGTAAATTACTGATTCAAGTTAAAGAAGGTACGAACTTGAACATAAGTTCCACTTTTCAGCTTGATGTGAACTCTGTTGTCATTGGATCTCTCAAGGTAAAAGGTTTCTGTGGCAGAAGCTGATCCTGCTGTTGCAGTCACCACACCTCCATCTCCATTGCAAGTTAGAAATTGGCCTTGAGAAGTACGAAATTGAAATATCGACTCAGATAATCTCCATAACTGCTCAAGGAAGAAAAATATAATTAAACACCATTTGGCTTACTTAGGTAAAGAAAACTGTGGTAAGCAGAAAAACAAAAGCAATTTATCAAACTTTCAATTCAATAAAAATACAAGAAATGCTTTAGTTTCTCGAAACCTGTGAATGTATAGTTTTAATGCTATTTGATTCCAGCAAAACATCATAAAATGACTGCAAAAGAATAACACAGAAGCGCACACATTCCCTAAAGATCTATTATAAAAGTAAAACCCCATTTCTCTTAGGATTGAGAAGCACAAATATTGACATGAAAGTGGTGCCACGATAGTTACAAACCCGGACAATATAGGCCAATGATTGAAGTAGTTTAGGGGATGCATGACTTAGGAACAAAAACAAAGAACAACAGAAAAACACCAAATGAAGGGCACAGATGGAGGTGAACTTTGCTTCCCAAAGAACGGCATGACCATATCAGGTTATGAGAAGTAAACTCCAGCTTCAGGCACAAAACTGAATTGTCAACTGATCAAAGTTCAAATCAAGAAACTTTCACATTGTGAACTGGGGGAGAACAATTATTGACTGATATCAACCAGAATAATTTAAATAAACCAAAGAAATGAAGCATGGCATGACTTATTATCCATACCCTGAAGGTTTCCCATGATAGAGGAGTATCTTTATCAACCGTAACATTCATCCCACCCCCATTCTCGGCTGACACATACTTCTGCAGAGTTGCAGACTTTAGTTGCACCATTGTTCCATCCTGCATTGTCATCATCACATCCGAAAACAGCAGTTACAGTAAAACCCGAAATTGGCTGTAAAATGACTTCCAAATTAGCAGAAAGATGACTTACTAGCATGTCTCCATTTGGAATTTCATCAAACAGAGAAGGCTTTATCCATCCTTCTATGACTAACCAACCACCCAAGTTCACGCCTCTTACTCTTGAATTACCATGCAGTCCCTCCACTTGTTTCAGACAATTGACAAAACAAATAATCAGCGAGAATCCCGAAATTCATTTACATCGTACAATGCGATTAAACAGAATCTCAAGATCAAAGAATGTGATTAAAAAAAACCAAGAAATTAATGAAGTGCGAAAGCAAACCTGAGCATGCAACAGAGAAGAGCAGCCAACAAGAAAGGAGAAATGCTGAGACCCTTTTGCAGAAAGCAAGTTCCATGAAGAACAGCAGCCCGAATCACATCATATAGGAAGGACCAAAGATATTTTTTACAAGAATCCCATCCGCAACAGAAAGTCACAACCGCAAATAAAGGGAAGAAAAAGGTATCAAAAGTATTATTCTTAACTTTTCAAGAACCCCCCTCCAAGTGGCAAAGTTACTTAAAAGAGATAATTGGACACAATCCCAGAAATCCCTTTCTTCTCACTCAATTAATTCCAAAAAGAACGTTGTAAACAACCCATTAAAATAACTCATCTACATTGCCTTCAATATTAAATTGCAGTATGTAACATTATTAAATTAACCCCTTTGCGCTTAGGCAAAGACAAAAGCTGGCATTTTGACAATAAAATAAAGTTTGAATTGATCAAATGGGACAAGGAATGAACTCATATACATTCTAGAATCATAGAAAGGAAAGGGACTAAAAGTGTTCATATTTAATGATGATGCAGAGAATACAGAAAGGCCAACAAAAAAAAAAGGCGGGCAGAGTAACAACAAAAAGGTTGCTTTGCTTGGGGATTATCTGAGGGGAATTCTTGATTAGAGGAAAATTTGTTGGAAAAGCAAACTTCTTTACGTGGTTTAACTACTCAAAAGTTACAGAATCTTCTTGATGGGTAATAATGAGGAGTGTTCATTTTCAGATTTCAGCTGTCCCGTTCAAAATAATTGATGGGTTATTAAAAAAATTCGATCTTTATCCATTTGTATACAGTAATTGTTTTGATCATCATCATCATATTATTGCATCACCAGACACGGATTTGGTTCATTCTATCATTGAGAGTGACTTTCGCAACTTGTTAGAGACTATGGAGTATGGACTTCTGTTGTCTTCTTCTTCTTTTTTTATTTTATTTTATTTTCCTTCTTACTTTTCTCATTCCTTTTGTCTCTCTTCTATTGTTGGTTTTTGAAATTTACTATCAAAAATCATTTTCTCCAGTGATTTCAAATTGGACTGATATATTGATACGAATTTTAAACTAGTCTCTATTCCAATTTACTTATGATAAGAATTTTCCGGATGAAAATATTGCCATTTATATAGAGGCAGTGATATAGCAAATGCGTGATAGAAATAATACGAAAAACATTACTGATCATAACAAAATGATTGTCTTTTTCTTTTATCTCATCCGTAAAATCGAAGTACCATCTCTCTTTGATCACTTACTACTATTACCTCATTTTCTTCTTCTTCTATTTCATTAAGTTATTTTGGTAGACACAAGTTTATGCATTTATGGTCTTTTTGCGAAAGACTAAACAATATAAATGGTCCTCTACATTTAAATGGTCCTCTACATTTGGTCAAATTTAAATTTTAGTCGCTTACATTAAGATGTACTAGATGTTTGGCCCAGGCAGATGCCCGGGCGCCCCTTCGAAATTACTATTTTATTAAAATCTAATTGAATTACTATTTTTTGATTAATTAATTTGGCGTATATATCATTTATGCTATGGTTTGGGGCTTAAAAAAATATACCTATAAATCTGAGGTTATAAGGGAATAATAAATAATTAGTTTATAAGGCATTATTCTTAATTACTGGATTTAGGTTTTTTTATTTTTTGTTTATATTAAGCCTGTAAAACTGTACGATTGGACATTTGAATTTGAATTAATATATCCATTCGTTTGAAATGTAACTGATTCTTATTTGTAGAATTTTTTTCATTGGATAAGTGTCACATCTAAAACATGTGTCTTTTTTAAAAAAAGAATTATATAGTTTCTAATTAAAAGAGACTTACACATGGCAAAAAGACTCCTGAAATCTGAAATATGGTGCATTGGAGCCAAAACAGATGCATACGTAGTTGCCACATAAGCTTCATGTTTTCTGCTTTAATAGGGTACAAGGGATGTGGAATGAGCCTTATATTTCATTTTGAAACTTTTTTTGTCGTTTTTACTGTTCCGTTCCAAATTTCATCATGATGACCGTTGATCTTACCCCCGCCAAGGGTATTTTTGGAACATTACATATGAAACAAAAATTTTAAAATTATGTTAATAATAAAATAATAAAAAATATTATTTAACAATAAAAATATTTAAAATTTTAAAATTAATAAAAAAATTGAAAAATCTTCAATTTTCTTTTTTTTTTTTTTTTTCCACTTTTCACTCCCATTGGCCTCACAGCTGACCCCATCGCTCTTAGTGGCTTTACCCTTTAGCCTCACTCGACTCCATCATCTACATTACCGCTGGCCCGCTCCTTTGTTGCCGGTCGTCCTCTCTCACCTTCACTCACATGCTTCAGTTGCGCACATTCAAATCCCTATGCACCAAAACTTCATACTATAATAATTTGCTCTATAAAAGTACTTGTTTCTTCATCCTTAGAGCGTTAGTTTCACCCCACAGAGAATTAATGGAGTACAATCGAACTACTTGCTCCCTAATGCATTTTTGCTTTGGAACACTGCCAATTTAAAGCTTGGTAAGTATCTGCGATTCTCCAATCTGGAGTATTAGTTGTTATTTTATAGAAATTGTGATGCCTATCAACTGTTTGATGAAATTTTACATTTTGAGTATCAGGTTAAAACTTAAAAACGCAGGAAGAAACCCAAAACATGGATAGACATTCCAATCTCACAAAGAAGCCTCAAATTCTTGGTAAACGGAATATCTCTGATGGAGACGAAGGTGGAAGTTGATAAAGCAAATTTGTTTGAAGACAGATAAGTAATCTACCAGAGCTTGCATTAAGTTCGTTCTTATTTTTCTTCCCATAAAAGAAGCTGTTTGGACCTATGTTTTATCTGAGAATTTGGTTAACAAAATTGGAGCTTGATTACTAATTTGAAATGGACACGAACATGGTAGAGATTGTGCTCCATTACCCAGAAATGCTCATTGGGAAGGTTGTTAAAAAGATAGTAAGCAGATAAGCATAAGAGAAGCAGTCATTGTACAGGGATTCGATCCGCCGCCATGATTAGGAGGCGTAGAATTTGATTTTTTTTTTTTAAAAAAAAAATTCAATTGTATAATTTTTTTAATTTAAAATTTTTTATTTTTTAAATTTTATTATTAATATAATCTTAATTTTTGTTTTATATGTAGTGTTCCAAAAATACCCCTGGCATGGGTAGAGTCAACAGTCATGGTGACGAGATTTGGAACGAAATATTGAAAAGGGAACAAAATAATTTCAAAATAAAATGTAAAGGAAAATTTCGTATACATGTTCATATAAGGGACCAAAATTTAAATTCAACCAAATATAGGGAGCCATTTGTGTAATTTAATATTTTACGAAATCTTTACTTATGTTTCCTACTTAATACTCCCTCCGTCCCATAATTATTGTCCAGTTTTACTAAAATGAAAGATTTTATTTTTGGTCAAATTTAATTATATTTTACCTTAAACAACCGGATATACCCCTACATAAGTAATTGTTTAACCACTAAGATTTTATAGATAATGTTTTTTACTAAGGACAAATGTGTAACTTGATCCATAAAAAGTCAAATTGGACAATAATTTTGGGACAAAATTTTTTGGGCAAAGTGGACAATAATTATGGGACGGGGGGAGTATTACATAACTTGGCCCAAATCAATTGCTCTTCCAAAGAGCTGTAATCAATTGTTTCCGAACAAGGTTTAATAAGCCCATCAGTTGTCCGCCATGTCACATTACTGTATCTACTTTTAACTCTATGCTATGCATGGGTTATTTGGTCTTAATTAGAATGAAATACTGTGATGAGAAAGTGTATAGGTTTCTCTATTATTCCTTTAGGGTACATACAGTTTGTGATAATTATGAAGTACTATCACTTTCATTATTATTTGTTGCACCAAAGATCAATACATTTCATGGATTATTTGGTTGCATCTATATGATTGTTTTGTGTAACAGTTGAAAGCTTTGGTCAGTTTCTACTTCTTCTTCATCAACAACCATAAAATAAGAGAAGTGGAGGTTTTGAGAATCACGCCTAGGAAAAACACGTAGGTTCTATTTGGTTGGATTGAATTGGACCCACGAATTGGAATTGGAGATAAAAATAGACTTCCAGAATTATAATTTAAGATGGGGCTCCATTCTTTATTTTTAATTCTTTTGTAGGAGCAAATAGTTGCAATTCAAATTCAAGAGTCTTTTAAAAATATCGCGGGTCATAAATCCGGGTCAACTTATTTTTTCCGGGTTCGGATAAATTGACGTCTCTCTCTAACGCACACATTTTACACTTTCTTTATTTTCTTTCTTCCTTTTTTTCCTCCCATGGCGAAGCTCGTCTGAAATCACCGCTCGCATGGCTCTTTAGTTTTCTTTCGATTTTGAGCAGGTAAGGTAACGGAATTTCTGTCTGTTTCATGGTGGCTCTGCTTGAAGTTTGGGTTGTCCGAATATTTGATTTTTGTACCTTATTTGATGAGTCGATGTTCTTCCAGATCTATTTTGTTTTTGATCTTTCAATAATTGCAATCGTTTTTCTTCGGTGAATAACCTCGTTTTAAGGCTTGTTTTCTACTGAATTTTGATTAGATGTGGTGGGTTTGGCTTAAAGTCCATGTTTTTGGGTTTTATTCGCATAATTATCTTGATATTGTCTTTCTGTGAGAACCCTAGTTTTACCAGTGAGTCACTCTCAACCCAATAGAGATCTCAACCATTTGAGAGTCGGAGTAAAACTATGAATTAGGCCTATTTCTTTCTGCTATCGCATGTCGGTAACGATGACGGCATAGGTTGATTATGATTTGGATGATGATGATGATGATGATGATGATGATAGTGATATGGAGGAAGATTATTTCGATGATGATGATCATTATGACGACGATGATGATGAAGAGGATGCAAAAATTGGGACGAACAAACAGGCTCGAAGTCGGAAACCAATTAAGGCTAGGTCACTCAAGTCTCTCATGTAACAAAGGGGAGGAAAAAAAAATTAATGTTGTTGTTGTTGTTCTTCTTAGTAGTATTTTGATTATTTTTCTGGGTTTTTGGGGGAAGAACTAGTGTAGCTAGCTACTTTGGTTTTTTTTTTTTAGAAAGGCTTGTTTTATGGGTCTCTTTTGGTGTGGACTGTGGACTATGGACTTACTATGGTGGTGGTGTACGTGTGGTTTTTGTTTGGTTAAAGGCTATGGGTTAGTGTGTGACTGTGTGCAACGTGGGTGTAGTAAGATTAGATCAGCTAGGCACCTGCTGGCCTTTTATTTTATTTGTACGTGAATTTTGGGCCTTTTTTTGTATGTAGAACCTCTCTGTAACTTTTGTACATATATTAAGGTTTGCTTACCTTCTATTGAAAAGAAAGGGCTACGTGAATTGAGTTGGCAAATTAATTTGTATTCTTAACTACATGAAGAGTTATCTATTCCAAACTCTATTGATAAATAGCTCTATCCTTAGTTGCACATTGCTGACTTAGTTCTTTATTGCAGAGAGTCACAAATACTTCACAGCGGTACTACGATAGGACTTGTCAAGGACAGAAAAGGGAGCGGACGACATTATATTGACCATATCATCTTGTACGTTATCTTTTTAAAGCTTATTTGCATTAGTAAAATTATGACTCAACTGAATGCAGTAACTGTTATAATGCTAGAAGATACAGTAGTAACCCTTTCTTTGAAGCATTGGTCAAAGTGGCATGGTTGCTTTGATGCCACTTTGACTCCATAGTCAAAGTGGCATCAAAGTGGTTGTTTACCTTCTATTATGATTCCATGGTTGCTTGGATATTTTTTACTTGATGATAATGTATGCTCATTTGAAAAGCTATATTGCTTGCTAAAGTTTAATCAGTAAATTGTTTACGTTAATAGGAAATATTAAATGTGGGCTCGTCTTACGTCTAAGTTCAAGTTTTAATTGTGGGTTTGTGTTACGTTTGTGATTTTGCTGTCTTTTCTTGTCTCTTCTGTAATGGTAGACTTTTTGCTTTTTGTAGCAATTCTGTTAGAAAAACTTTTGATGTATTTTGCATCATTTACATGCCTTTAGAAAAATCGATAGTTGTGCTTATTTATTGGTTAATAATTAGATTACATGGATTATCAACTCTCCCGTAATGATGACGAGGATAACGCAAGAAAGAGGCGAAGAATATTCGTCGTACACCAAGTTGTTACTGCAGCTGCTATAGCTGTTATGTGGCACGAAAAGCATATGGTGAAAGAGCCAAGCTTGGACTTCTCTGTAGCACGACAAATGTAACTTAGGAGACTCTATTATGGGATTGGTAGAGTTTGTAAGGATCAACTCTGTCTAACTAAGCACTGTTTTACTGTTTTATTCTCTAATCTAAAAGAGCTAGGAGGATTGAGAGATTCAGCTCATGTCCCTATGGAAGAAGCAGTAGCTATGTTTTTCTATGTTCTTTCTTTCAATTTGACGAATCGAAAAGTGAGTTTCGATTTTATAAGATCAGGGGAGACAGTCAGTCGTCAATTTAACATGGTGTTACATGCTATTTGAAGAATGGGAATCAAATATGTTAACCAAGAAAAAATAGAAATGGAGGGGTTCGAAGCTGAAAAATGGATGTGGTTTGAGGTAAACATAGTTTGTGTTTGTTGGTTAGTTTAGAAGTTAGTATATTAATCTTAAGATTCTTTTTTTGTTTTTGGTGGCAGAACTGCCTTGGAGCATTAGATGACACTCATATCAAACTAACCGTTCCACTAAGAGATTAAGGAAGATACCGAAGTAGGAAGGGTGAGATAACGAAAAATGTTCTGGCTGTGTGTGCCCGTGATTTGAGATTCAGCTACGTTTTGTCGGGATGGGAAGGTTCTGCAGCTGATAGTAGAGTATTGCGCGATTCCTTAACTAGAACTGACCCTTTTGTAGTACCCAAAGGTAAGTTGCATTTACAGATTTCTTTTTTGCCATTTTTTCTTCATTATCTTACATACCTTTAAATTATTGGGAAATAAATTCTCCACTTAAATCTTTAGGCAAATATTTTCTTGTCGACGCGGGATATACAAATGGACCTAGGTTTTTAGCTCCGTTTAAAGGGGTTCGTTATCACCTTAACGAGTGGTCCGCTAGAGGTAACAACCCAAGAACTCCCAAAGAGTTGTTTAACCTCCGACATGCAACCGTGAGAAATGTAGTTGAACGAGCTTTTGGTTTGTTGAAGAAGCGGAGGAAAATCATGAGAGAAGTCTCTTTTTTTTTTTTTTATGTTAAAACGCATGTGAAAATCATCAACGCTTGTATCGTGCTGCATAACCTTATTAGGATAGAAGCTCCGAATGATCCGATGCTGGATGAAGTTGATGCGGAGCTTCTTATTAGAAATAACCAAGATGATGATGCTCAAGGTGGTGAGGATGATGAAGACACTCAACCTGTGCATGGTGGTGAGGATGAAGAAGACAGTCCACATGTGCATGGTGCTGCACAGAACTCCAGCCGAATTACTGTAGTTCAATTTGCTTATGAATGGAGCCAATTTAGGGATTCAATAGCTGAAGCTATGTTTCGTGAGTATCAAAATAGACGTAGCCTGTAATTGTTACTAAATTGTACTTGCAATGCAATACTGTTGTAATGCTGGCTGTTGCACTCTCTCTTATTCATAGTGAATAAGATTTCAGGCATTTTATTTGATGGGACATGTTTCAATTCAGGTCGTGCTGTTAACTGCAATGTGAATGTTGTTATGTTATCCTTTGATTTCAAGAACTGATTAAAAATGGTACACTGTTTTGTGATATTACTGAGCATTGTATGGTTCTTGAGACATGGTTTATTCTTTTTTTTTTTTTTACTGTATCTTGTCCCTGCAACAAATTTTCAATTTCGATGATGGTGGCTGATGATGTTGGCTGGCTGTATCCCTGTAATAGTTTTGGGTATATTTCATACTGCATTTGAGTACAATGGCTTCTCAGCTTGTCTTTTTTTTTTTTTTTTTCAGTTTGCACACTGCAACAACTTCTTTAACTTTGCTTAATATAATACTAGGATACATAACCATTTTTAATTAAATCAATGAGTATACTGTATTCTATTAATAGAAGACAGCTAGAATGATGATCTCATTACTTGTTGGGAGTTTGAACCCAAGTGGTTTGATCATTCATTTTCGTTGCATGCAATGTCAAGTTTTGCTGAGGCATTTTGCAAATGAGTTTTGCTTTCTATGACCTGATCTTTTGTTTCTTTAAGTAAAATTAGTTTCTTCTTGTTACAACATGATAACGTGTTTCTCTTCCTTGCATTTGTAGATTGTCTCAACGCTATTGCCTTATTGCTAATCTTTTTGTCCACTGAGTAATACAAGCTCTCTAAGATGGCTCCTCATTCACAAGCACCATCCCTTTCTAAAGGGAAAGGAAAGGTTAAAGAATACTTCACATGGACCCCCAAAATGGATAAGGTTCTGGCGGAGTGTTTCATTGAACAAATGAAACAAGGGAAAAGTTGGATGGGAAATGTGCGTGGAAGAATACTTCCTGGACAGCTGCTATTAATGCGCTTGCCGACAAGTTACGGGTAAAAGTAGATAAGAAAAAGATTTTTTCTCATCTGAAGACTTGGGAAAAGCATTATGAGACTTTGCAGCCTTTATTGGTTTCTTGCAACTCCGGTTCTGCAATCACATGGGATCACTCAAAGGGAAGAGTTGAGGTCTATGATGAGAATGTGTGGAACGAACGTGTAGAGGTAACTCTATTTTCAATATTGAGGTCTCAGTTTGTATGACATCCCTTTTTCCATGCATAATCTAATAGGCATAAGCTTTGATAGTTTCTCTGCTTTCTGTTCCTGGTTATTTCACTGTTGAATGGCATTATGAACGTTTTAGCGCCAATGTTATACTTCTTCTTATATCAATGATGCTATTATGCGTCATCAATCAACTAGTACTGCTGTTAGTCTAATTATCTTTGCTGATTTTGTATTCATTACGTGCAGCTGATTTTGTATTCACTATATAAGTTTTAATTTCGTGTAGTTGTTTGATGCATGGTTGCTCATTACATTCTGATTTATAAATTTTCTTTTGAAGGCAAACCCTAAACTTACACCCTATAGAAGGAAGATTATAGTTGAGAATTGGGAAGAAATTTGCACAATCTTCTCACAAGACCGTGCTAATGGGCAAGGTGGCCACACTCTTAGGGAGATGAATGCTGAAGAAACAGTAAGGGAATCTGTTAATTTGGGAGATCCATTTGAGACTTGCGAGGAAGATGAGATCATGAGACTTATGTTGGGATACCAAAAGAGAAAAGAAGTTGCATCTTCTTCTACTTCTCAGGGTATGAACAAGAAACCGAGTTCATCAAATATAATGATTTTGTATTTGTTGATTTTGTATTCATTACGTGCAGCTGATTTTGTATTCACTATATGGGTTTTAATTTCGTGTGGTTGTTTGATGCATGGTTGCTCATTACACTCTGATTTATAAATTTTCTTTTGAAGGCAAACCCTAAACTTGCACCCTACAGAAGCAAGATTATAGTTGAGAATTGGGAAGAAATTTGCACAATCTTCTCTCAAGACCGTGCTAATGGGCAAGGTGGCCACACTCTTACGGAGATGAATGCTGAAGAAACAGTAGGAGAATCTGTTAATTTGGGAGATCCATTTGAGACTTGCGAGGAAGATGAGATCATGAGACTTATGTTGGGATTCCAAAAGAGAAAAGAAGCTGCATCTTCTTCTACTTTTCAAGGTATGAACAAGAAACCGAGTTCATCAAATATAATGATTTTGTATTTGTTGATTTTGTATTCATTACGTGCAGCTGATTTTGTATTAACTATATGGGTTTTAATTTCGTGTGGTTGTTTGACGCATGGTTGCTCATTACATTCTGATTTATAAATTTTCTTTTGAAGGCAAACCCTAAACTTGCACCCTATAGAAGGAAGATTATAGTTGAGAATTGAGAAGAAATTTGCACAATCTTCTCACAAGATCGTGCTAATGGGCAAGGTGGCCACACTCTTAGGGAGATGAATGCTGAAGAAACAGTAGGGGAATCTGTTAATTTGGGAGATCCATTTGAGACTTGCGAGGAAGATGAGATCATGAGACTTATGTTGGGATACCAAATGAGAAAAGAAGCTGCATCTTCTTCTACTTCTCAAGGTATGAACAAGAAACCGAGTTCATCAAATATAATGTGTTGTTTCATGAAGCAAATTGCTGAAAACTTTGGTGAGTTTATGGTGACTGAGAGACAAATATTGGTTGCTACAAAAAAAGCTACACCGGAAGATATACTTGAAGCATTGAAGGTAGTCTCCTTGGACGAGATGCAAACCTTCAAAGCCCTAGATTTGATGATGGGCAATCAAAGATTATATGACACGTTTGTTGGGCTGTCAACAGTTGAAATGAAACAACAGTGGCTTATGGTGTAGCTCCACAAGGGTAATTAATGGTGATAGTCTTATTTTAGTCTGGATTTACTCAAGGTTGTTTCTTTTCTTCTTTATCAACTTGCTTTATGTCTTCCTTAAGATGCACGATTCTCTTCAGGTGGGCTAATCTCCGGTGCTCTTTCATGTCATGAGAACCGGATATGGATGAAGGGATCATTAGAATGAATGATGAAGGGATGTCTCTCATGTCATGATATTTTTAGGAGAATTACTGTCCAAATTTAAAGTATGCAAAACTTTATTAGTTGGATATCTATCATATTCATACCATTTAGCTTCGAGAAGACAAGTACCGTTTTGCATTACGGAAAATGTTAATCACTTAAGTAAATTATTTGTTTGCTTTAGTCGCTTGGATGAAATATGATTATATTGATGTGATATGAGATGAATCACCAATGTTCTAAAACCCAAATTTACTATAGATCCAAAACGGTCAAAATAATAACATAAAGAAGTCAAAGCCTTTTATTTTATAACAAAGTTTTGTTTCAATTTTATTTTGACTTAACTTTTTAAGATTATAAAGTCTCTAAATAACAAGAAATATAGGAATTTGATAAAAATATATATATATATATATGCAATTAAAGTTACAATTCTTAAACATAAAAAAAAGGTTACAATTCTATTCCTAAACATCCAAACGCAAGAATTGGTATTAAAATCTTAATTATACTCAATTCTTAGGATCTCCCAAACAAAGGAATTATGATTGAATTACAATCTTAATATCTCATTTTCAATTATAATTTCAATTCAATCCTAATTCAATCCAACCAAACGGAGCCGTATAGTATTTCACTTCCTCCTAAATTGAATAGGGACTTTATTAATTTATTTTTTTGGTTGTACCTAATTTGGAATCTCTAATTTTTATTTTATTTTTTTTTTTTTGAAATGGTTTGCTCTAGCTAGTAGTATTCGGGCGAGTTCAGATAAGAATTGTTGACTTTCCTTGGGGGGTCCATTTCAATGGTATTCAATTGTTCCTTTTTACTCTCTTCTTTTTTTTTGCGCTTTTAGTATATTTTTCACTAGATATTTGAAATCATTACCTCTCGCTTAGAGAGACTATTATCATAATTATTATTCAAAATTTGTTTTGGAAAACATCCAATGCGATTCTAATAGATCATATGACGAAACTTACCTTCACAGAGACCATTTGGCCACCGGCCGATCTTTCAAATATTGTACCAAGTTTTATTTACAACAACACCACTTCTTTGATTCAAGGATCTTTCACTAGATATTTGAAATCATTACCTCTCGCTTAGAGAGACTATTATCATAATTATTATTCAAAATTTGTTTTGGAAAACATCCAATGCGATTCTAATAGATCATATGACGAAACTTACCTTCACAGAGACCATTTTGGCCACCGGCCGATCTTTCAAATATTGTACCAAGTTTTATTTACAACAACACCACTTCTTTGATTCAAGGATCATATCTTGGATAACCGTTCATATTTGTATCTTTTCATCGGTTTAGAATCATACTAATATTGTAGACCAACAAAATCTTTCTAATTCGGAGGCAAGATTTCCAGCATCCTTAAATCACAAGAACAAGACAAACAACTTACAATACTATCATCACGAGCATGAAGTAGTTGACTCAACTCTCTTCTTCTTTTTTTTTTTTTTCCTTTTTCTTTTTTTTCCCCCACGTATCAAAGAGAATAAACAAGTAATTGTTAGAATTGCCTGTCAGGTCAACAAATCTATATATTATCAAATGTGGTCATATTCCACAACGAGGGCGGGATTTCAGAGCTCTTTTTATTACTACTTCACAATAATTACTCAAAGCGACATGCCTAATACTATAAACAAATAAACACACTGGTACTTACTGTATAAAGTCAAAGATTACTGGGAAGTATTAACACCACATTAATAAATGGGATGATTACTGGCAATTTTGATCTCTGGGCAGTTAATACCTTCCCTGGAAGATCAACTACTACTAAAATGATTGAATCTAAACCAATAATCCAGTCATATGCAGTCAGAAGAATTTAAGATCCGTACCAAATCCCAGAAGTGATTAAGATACACACACACACACTGAGACACAGGCACATATTAAATGGCTTTGAAAAGGCTGATCTAATGAGCTTAATATGATATATTGTGTATATAACAAATTTAAATAGATGGTTCTGATTGGAAGTCGGTGCGGAAGTTTAACCAGATGAGATTCTCTATGAGAGAGATGAGATCATCTGTCACGATCTATGTGTCGTGCCTGACTTGGAAATGTGTAAACTATCGAAAATGAAAAGATGAAATCATGAAATGGAGAAGAACAAAAGATGACTAGAAGATCAAAATGGTAATCTTTGAGACTAACTGTATCATCTTATACCAAATCAAATCAAATTTTCCGTTTCTACACAAATGGTTTGTGCTACTGAGAGAATTCAGCACTAAGAGATTAGACCATAAGCACTTAATAAGGCCTCATCAGTTTTAGCTTCATCTAACCAAATCAAAGGCCTCTCTGTTTCTGAATGATTCATCTCCGGCACGAAGACTATGCGATCTGTTCGTCGAGAATCCAAAAGGGCCTAATCAAATTCAAAGGGTCTGATCCAATTCTTGACTTCTGCTGTTATTACTTTGAGAAGTTGATTTACCACTTGATGAAAATGACCTCTTCATTCGAATAGGCACACTTTGCAGAGAACGCCCAAATGAAAAACTCTTTCTCGAGGAAGATCTATTTATGCTTGAACAAGTTGTTGAATCCTTAGCTTCAATCTTGATGGAAACTGTATCCGTACCTGGATTCTGCTTCTTCATGTCTCCCTCCACATCTTCATGACTATCATTACTCGAACTCCCTTCCTCTTGTTTCACTACTGGTTCATCAATCTTCTTAGCAACTTCAGCACAAAGCCTGGAAGCTGAAGCTAAGTCCATGGAGAATGATCTTCTTACAGTCGACTGATGCAAATCATCTTCCTCAATTCTGCTAACTCGGTGGAAATCACCCAAATCGCTTAGCACTCGAATCCCATTATTCCTACCTAAAATCTTCCCCAGTTCATCCGGCAATCTTCCGAAATTTTCGCCTCCAATTCTCATCTCATTAGCCCTTGAAGAAACTTCTCCATTTTCACTATTCATCTGTCGGTGATCATCAACTGCTGTTGCATCTTCCCTAGCAGAGTCCACAGGTGAGTTTGCCGCCGCCGGCGGAGAAGTCTCCGTCACGACCGGAGCACGGCAAAGGGGACAATTTTTGTGGGATCTCAACCAAGTATCAATACAAGCAATGTGAAAAGCATGAGTGCATTTGGGCAAAAGCCTTAAACTTTCATCTTCTTCAAACTCACTCAAGCAAACAGAGCACTCTGTTTTTCCTTCAATCAATCCATCCACTTTGTTAAACTTGAAAATCGGGATCGAATCAATCACGGATTGCTGCAAACCGACAGTTCGGATATACCATATGGGATGGTCAAAAACAGGGCCGTGATTCTCATCAACAAAATTCTCACCATGATTTACAACATCACCAAACGATAAAAACCTCCGCCTGGAATTATTCAGATTGGAACGGTACTTTTTCAGAATGGTGAGATAACAGAGACAAACAAAAGCAGCACCTAAAACACAGAGCATCAGGATCAAAATCATCGGCATATTGTTCTTCTGGCTTGATGATGGATGAGGAGGCGGCGGTGGTGGGTAGAAATTGTTATTAGCATCATCTGAATTTGTATTGCATTCAGGAGGACACAAGATATAACAAGAACATTTATCAACAAAATCCTTTGCTAGAAGGATTCTAGAATGAGTTATGTGAGAACTGAATTGGGAGAATAACAACTTTCTGGGACCAAAATTCATCCTGAAATGAACCAGAAAACAGAGAAGAAGAACAAATTAAACAAAAGGGGTCATTCATTTAACCTCAAAACTGCAAGAATAATAAGCGCAACGCAAGAAAAAAAGCCAGAGGGGTTTTAAATGTGAAAACTACAGAGTTGACCCCATTAAAGCTAGACTTTGGTGGATTGCTTCATTATCGGTTATAAATAGCAATGGAGAAGATTACTCGTAATTACGGTCTAGTTTGTTGTACATTGGCATCTGCAGAAGTCAATGGACTTTGGACTTTCTTTTTTTTTTTCTTTTTTTTTAATTAGTAGTATTGTTTTTGTTATATATATATATATATATATATATATATATGTATATGCAATGTACTACTTTATTTCTTTTTACGCGTTAACGGATTTTTGTGGGGCTTTTGCAAAAATAAAAACATCACCATAATCAAGGATGACATCAATTGCACGCAATTTCGTTAACGAAGACAAGGGGCGGTCCGAATGAAAACAAATCAAATCGTTCTGAAATTTACATTATTTTTTGGCCAAGAAAAAAAAAATAGTTATGACGTGTAATTTGTCGCAACGGTGCGGAATATAAAAATACGTAATACTCCCTTAGTCTTAATAAAATAATCTACGTTAATTTTTTAGATGTAGACTTTTTAGATAGAGGAAATAACATTATATTCTTATAATCACAAGCTATTTATTTTAGAGTTACCTTGTATCAACTAGAGAAAGTAATATTTCGAAGGTTCATGATTGCATTTACGTATTTCCCTCTAAATCCCGATAGAGTGTATTCAGTGGCAACCAAACCAAATGTTGTGTCATTTTGAGAGTTGGTTTTTAATGAACCAAAAGACCATAATAAAACCGAATACTTTGCATCAAGGGATGGAGAATTTGATCACGACCATTGAAGTTAATCAAAATGCCATAGCCTTTTATGAAAATGAAGAAAAATTGTTATTCTGTTTTATTTATTTTATTTATGTTAGTATCTCCTCAAAAGTTTCAAGGCTAACATGACTGGCAAAATCTTCTATGGAACAAAGGTAATTTAACCAACCTAAAAGAAAAGAAATATTATTAGTAAATCTTTTTGAAAAATAAGGCACCCAAATTTGACTGATTCTGAGTTTATACGATCCATGAAAATGATCGAATTTTTTTTTTTTTGGGCAAAATGTGATATGAATTTGTTTGAGTATCTTCGGTTACAACCACCCTTCTCTTGTAGTTGCCTGCATGAATAATAAATAACTAAAATTGATATTATTAATTGTGTTTCATCTACCACCCTTGTATTGTTTATAATTATTTGTAGTATGATTTTATAAGTTGAATGTAAATGTAGAAACTTGCGCATCTCCTTTTTACTCCAATTATTAAGTGCTATATATATTTTGGCTTCTTTTTTGGTCCATCAAATTAAATTGAACTCTGCCAATTTGATAATATGGGACATTTTGTTGGGGATCTTTCTGAGTTTTGAAAGGTCAGTCACATTACAAAGCGATCCTAACCCACGATTTTTTAAGCAATTTTGTTAATTTCAACAATTGTGATTTTTGTGGACCAATTTCTCTCTATAATTATAGTCTTTAATATTTCTTAAACTTTTTTTGGTGGGTCGGTGGGAGTAGTTGGCCTTTTGAGGTCATGAATTTCTTCTTTTTATTTTTCTTTAATTGGTGGATTTTAACCTTTTGAGTTTTGACAATGTCTTTCTCTAAATATATGTGGTCGTGTCTCCTCGCTCTCGATAGATTTATATTTGATCCGATCTTGAAGATTTTTTTTTTTTTTTTCTTTCTCTCCGGCAAGTAATAAACCTATTAAATTCTATGGTTAATTGGCTTCTTTTGGAGGTTGGATGAGTAAAGATGTTTTGCATGATACATTTCTAAGATAAGAAACCCTATAATATCATGTTAAACTGGTTACAGATGTGAGCAAAATATAATGTAATATACTTCATTTCAACGCTAGCCCTTTTTAGCTTACAGGAAAAACCTGATTATACATTTTTAGGATAAAAAAACCCTATAAGCTCATGTTTCATTGATGGTAGAGAATTTCCAATAATTCAGGTTTACCTATGTATAGAAAGAAAAAAGGCGAAGAAATGAGAAGGATTACATAGTATTGGCCGCATATGATTACATATCTTCATGGTAAATTTATGGATAACCATGCACCAATTATGATATCATGTAAAAATTAATAACCATGGGAAACAAAAGTCTAGATGGATGAGTTCGATGCTCATTTTGAAATTGAAATATGATTAGACACGAACTCGTAACTTTTGTTTTAGGCCTGGACCGGACTAATCACTTTATCAATTTCGTTCACTGCTTAATTTCTTGGTCAAAACTTGGATATTTGGGTATTTGTTGATTGCTTTTAACTTCATATACAGTAAAATATTTATAAATTAATATTGTTAGGATTCTGAAAAATTACTAATTTATAAATGTTAATTTATTGATAAATTACTAATCATTAATGTCTCGATAAATTAACAATTAATTAATGAAATTTTTTTGGAGCCGTTATAGACTTGTAGCTACTGTCACTAAAACTTTGACTTAGTATAAAAGTGATGATGATTCAGTGTTTTCGAAACTAACTACATGAAATGAAGTATTTAATGAAACAATAACTTTTCGGAATTTTATGTTGCAATATAAAAAATTTATATGAGAGATTTGAAAGCAATGGAAAAAATCAAAAATAAAATTTCTGTAGATGTAAATGTCAAGAAAAAAGATACGTAACTAGCTTCGTATCTTATAACTCCTAATTTTTCTTATACTTCAAGTCATTATTAATTTACGATATTGATAGGGCTATATTTACATAGAACTAAAAAATTATTATTTTATTATTTTATTGATTATATTTGTGTTTTATACTGGTCTCGACTTAGAATCAGAAAATATTATTAATTTATATATGTTATTAATTTATAGATGATCTAATGTGATTACTTTCAGTCTGGCCATTGTTCGAAGCTATCATTGGGAGCTTTTAATAGCCAAGACATCATCCAATCAATGTTTTCAAAATCGGGATTTCACGCATGATCGTTTTGTCGTCTCAGGATTGGATCGGATTCCGGATCGGTGGGATCGTAACTATTTAAAATATTATAATAATTCTGAAATTGCAAGTTTCAATTTGTTAGTTCAATTTTTGTTTGATTTTATAGAGGAGAAGTAGACTAGTGCCCACATACGTATCATTAACTCAAAATTTCAACTTTTATATCTTTTCTAATCATTTCCTCCTCTTTTTATACAAAATCAACAACTTGTACAAGTATCGACAAAATTAATGGGATCGTTGGATCGTAGAATCGTACGATCCGGATTGGGATTTTGAAGGATTCCATAAGATCCCACTACAAAAAAAGATTTCATAAGATCCAGGATCGATTTCTTAATTTCGGATCGTAGGATCGTAAGATTCTAAGATCCGGATCGAGATTTTGAAAATTATGCATCCAATTTTCTAAAGCAAGTGCTTAACCAGTTTGCCTTCTTCTGAAATAAAACCTCAAACCCCAGCAATGATACTCTTCACAGAATTAAAGAAATTTAAAATGTGATATAGCATCATCTTTCTCTACTTTTATTTCGTTTGGTTTTATCAGAAATGATGATCACCTTGACATAAAGATATGATTCTTCCTCTATTTTAAAATGAATGGTTCTCTAAATTAAAGTCGTGAATACTAATTCTATCAAAGGAGAATTATTTGTGCTGCTAATAATGAAGGTAGGGAGTATTAAAAAGCTAGGTCGATTAAGAAATTCCTAAATCAAGGGGCTGTTTTGAGTCTGTATCCAGTATACCCGGGAGCACCACGTGCCCCCTCCTATTTTTTGCACTAGGAGTCTTTATTGTACTTTTTCATCAATCTTTTTATAATTTGCAGGTTTAGTCCCTGTGACTTTTTTTTTCTCTCCTTTAAAAAACATCTCTAATCTTTAAACGAGCATCTCTCTCAATCCGTGAAGAATTTATGAACGAATTATATATAAAATTTATAGTATTCGTCGAGATAAATCCATATCAAATATTTTTTTCCAACTTAAAAATGACTAAATTTTGATGGGCAGAAACAAGAAAATTTGTACCTTCATTTGGATGGATATCCAGTTTAAAAATATAAATAACCAACTTAGTTTATATTGATATTCTTGTAAAATTTATATCTCTCAATTCGTAAGGAATTACAATACGAATTATATATGAAATTTATAGTGCTCGATGAGATCTATCCTACAAGATCAATATTGAATTTTTTTTTGAACTTTAAATGCATTTAAATTTTACGGGCAGAAATGAAGAAATGTGATTTTTTTTAAATATTCTGAAAAATAGTTATCCGTTGTGTTCGTACTGATTATCCAACCGGTTTGGACTGATATCCATTTTGTTTGTACTTGTTATCCAGACATTCCCTCCTCTTCAAAAAAAAAAGAAAGAAAAAAAAAAAGAAAAAAAATGATTGGATAAGAATTAGAAACTATTTGGATAACCAGTGGAAATAATTGGATAAGCAGTATAAACTGGTTGGATAATCAGTACTAAAAAATTGGACAATCATTTTCATAAGAAAGCAAGAAAAAAAAAGTTGGATAACCACCACCAAGAAGTCGGATGGATAATCAGTATGAAAACAGATATTTTATCAAAAGAAAAAAAAGAAAAGAAATTATGTTTGGATAATCAGTGAAAACGATTGGATAACCAATACAAAACGGTTGGATAGTCAGTACAAAAAATTGAACAAGGATTTTCGCAAAGACTAGAGAAAAAAATGGTTAGATAATCTAGACCAAACAGTTGGATAATCAACATGAACGCGTTGGACAACTGTTTTTTTCAAAAAAAAAAAATGAAATACTAGGTTGGATAAGCAGTACTAATTAATTGGATAATCAGTATTAACGCTGGACAATGATTTTTTTTTAAAAAAAGATAACCAGTACAAACGAAACGGATAATCAGTTCAAACCGGTCAGATAATCACTATGAACACAATGTATAACTATTTTAAGAAAAAAAATTAGGTTGGATAAGCAGTACCAATTAGTTAGATAACAAGTACAAACACATCGGCCAAGTATTTTTTCATAAAAATAAAAAACAATATGGAGAAATAACAGCACGAGGTTGGATAATCAGTACGAACACATTGGATTGGAGAAGTATTTTCTCGAGAGAAGAAAAAAATGATTGGGCAAGTAATACAAACTAATTTGGACAAGCAGTAAACACAACTTGATAACCAATACAAAGCTATTGGATAATCGCTATGAACACATTAGATAAACGTGTTTCAAAGGAAAAAAAAAATGATTGGATAAGCGGCATAAACAAAATGGATAACCAATATTAGCGTATTGGACAATAATTTTTTCCAAACAAAAAAAAATAATTCGATAACCAGTACACATAATTTGGATAGGCATATAAATCCGTTGGATAACTAGTACACATAAGTTAGATAGTCATACAAATCAAATAAATATCTAGTACAAACAAGTTGCATATACATACAAACCCATAGGATTACAACTACAAAACAAGTTGGATAGGAATACAAATCAAATGGATGAATATTCAGTACAAACAAGTTGGATAACTAATTCAAACTGGTTAGATAATTAGAGTCAACACAATGGATAACCAATTTAAAATAAGTTGGTTATCCATTTTCTTAATGAGATATCCACCCTATTTCTGCCCATCAGAATTTAATCTTTTTTAAGCCCGAAAAAATATTCCATATAGATTTTGTTGGATAGATCTTGATGAATACAATAAAATTCATGTGTAACACGTTTTCTAATTCTTTACGGATTGAGAGATATGCTCGTTTGAAGATTAGAGATGTTTTTTTAGAAGGGAGAGAAAAAAATGACAGGGACTAAACTTGTAAATTATAGTAAGATTGAGAAAAAAGTACAATAAGGACTAGTAATGCGAAAAAAAGAAAGGAGAATATGGTGCTCCCGGGTATATTAGATAAATTGCTGGTGTTTCATTTTGGAACGGATGCAAGATGGAAAGGATTCTAAAAATTTTTTCCCTCCGTCCCAGAAAAATAGTCCAGTTTGAAAATGTATAACTTTTTAAATTTGATTAACACGCCAAATGTACAACTGATTTTATGCTCATAACTTCTACTAATGCCACTTCTACTTATTTCTATAAAAGTTAATTACATATACATTTATTTTATAACTTAAATTCGATCAAAATTTTTATTTAAAAAAATATTGACAATGGATCTTGATGGAAAGATCTCGTTACGTAGATTAATTTGATATGTAACATATTATTTAATTATTCATGTATAATCATTTGAAAAAATGGAAAAAAAACTTTAAAAAAAAAAATCAAAGGAAGTGAACCTTGTTTTTCATACCACTACTCTTTTAGATATTTAAGTCATTTTAATTCAATTAATTTTGATTTTTGTGAAACTGGATTTTTTTTTGGGATAAATTTTTTTATTAGAGTGGATTATTTTTATGGGACGGAGGGAGTAATATTTAATTCATCCAATTACCTGATTAAGGTGTTTGGATCAGAAAATTACCGATAATTTGTTACATAAAAAACTGCGGAATTGTTGTGCTACTTAAAGATTGCTCAAGTGATTTCACAATCTTAATCAATTATAAGATTTCTTTGAGAATTTATTTTAGGTGTGTCATTCTTAGTCATAATCTTAAAGCCTTTTTAAGTTTTCCTTAGCAAAATGTATCGATCTTTACCTTAAATTTCACCAAATTAATGCTTTTATGAAAAAAGAAAACAAGAAAACTACTTATGGGATCTTACAATTCTCATTACATTATGGTCCCAAAAAAAATAAGGACATAATAAATATTGTCGCATATTTAGTTAGAATTATTTACGGTTAAGATTACACAATCATACAACTGAATCCTAATCGTTGAGCTACTCCATTCGTCCTTAATAACTTGGAGAAACCCTTGAAAAAAACATAGTGAAGTGACAATGACAATAATTTTATTTTTATTTTAAAAATAACAATGGATGGTGAGATGAAAATTAACTAAAAACCACTGTTTTTATGAATTCAGATTCGCTTCTCATATTCAATCCGTGTAATAGATTGAATACTTTGAACGGATTATTATAGTGACGATTTGATTTCCTTTTTTTTTTTTCACATTTTGTATTCGTTATTCAAATTTACTGCATATAACTAATTTAGATTCGAGTCTAGTGGAGCATTTAGGAAATCATCAAATCTTTAAATAGCCAATTGAAATTTATGGTCTCATTATGCTTTCGTTTCGTTTCTTCCCACGGAATCTATTGACAAGGAATTTCTTCGCTTCTCTGCCCGCAAGAAAAGAACTCTTTTCCTTATTTTCCACGAAGAAATTGTATAATAGTCCGTTTCAAATGCAAATATATTACACAATTAGCCCACCAAACACTTTAATCTTTATCAGTTTATTACACCAAATATATGGGTCCCGCCTAGTCCCATGAAACCTCATTCAATTGAATGACTTGCACCGGGGTTTACTCCCCTCCAATCCTCATCTTCCTTCGGCTTTATGATTCCATCATCATCCACCTTACTCTTATCATCATTCTGGTGGGAAAGGGAAAAAAAGAGAAAAGAGAAACAAAGAAGGAAATTGGGATTTTTAGAATTGATATCTCATCTGGGCTTTTAAGATAGTTGCAGCAGCAGCAACCAATTGATGACCGGCCGGAAAATGGCTGGCAAGAGAGAAAATCGGGGAGGATCGTACGGAAGAGAAGAAGAAGAAGAATTAATGGCTTCTGGGTTTTTTCAATCTCCAAAGTTTGGTTTTGATCTGATGCAGAATTGTGATTTGCCGCCGCCGATGAAGGTTTATGCAGGACAGGAGAAGACAATTGTGTCGCCTCCTATGAATATTGTTTATGGTACTTATGATGATGATGGGAAGAAAGAGGAGAAGGGTTTAAATAATAAGGATGAAAAGTACGAGGATGAGAAATTGGAGCTTCTGAAAGCCTTGAGATTGTCCCAAACCAGAGCAAGAGAAGCAGAGAAGAAAGCTGCTGCTTTGTGTAAGGAGAAGGATGATCTGGCTGATTTCTTGCTCAGACAATCAATGGACTTGTTTGCTTATAAACAGTGGGTGAGAATGATGGAATTGGAAGTTGGAAGAGTTTCTAAGCAAGATAGAGGAAGAATCAAAGAGAAATCAGATCCTGATGAAGTGAATTGGAGTGAATTCAATGATGGAGGAGCTGGACAGAGCATGAAATGGTTAGTTGCAGTAACAGCAATCTGTATGAGTATTGCTGGTGTTGGAATCTTCAGTTTATTCTCTTCATCCAGTTACCAGCATTGATCATTCAACCTTGTTAAGGATCTTTTTTGTTTTTTTCCTTCATTTTTCTTTCCTGTCTTTTGCAAAATATTTGTACAATATCCTAACATTTTATCTTCTGCTAGTAAATACAACTTCATTGGTGGTCCTGTTGGAGACACTGAAAGCCAAATGATGTGTTAATTGATTGCATTCTCTAATCGTAATAGTACAATTAACCGCCCAGATGAAACTCAAACGAGGTAGGTTATGTGAATCATATGTTGTTATCGAGCTCTAAAGGGACAGTTCAGAATGGTTAAAGTAAATGGATATTTACAACAGGCAGCTTCATTCATTAAGGGATGATGAATAAATACAGTGCGTACTTCACGTGGTGTTACATTTCATTTCATCAGATAATGGCTTCATGTATAGACCTTAAATGGTTGTAGCAATCATCACTGGTTACAAAGTGTTCCAGGCAGACCCAACAGATATGCCGGCCGCATCTGCACTCGATGTGATTGCAACCGTCCACTTTCTCAATCGTACAAGTACAAACCGGGCACCTCTGGACATTTTCTTTTCCGGCGCACCATACCTTCAAGGAAGAGTCTGGATCATCTTTGAACTCCTTGTACTGCTCACACGACAGGAGCAGATGATACTCAAGGTGGCATCTCCGGCATGTCTCCACATAACACGCACCACATAAAAATGGGGCGTCAGAATCACTGACTTGATAAACTGAAGGACAATCTGGAGAAGGGCAAAATCTGAAAGTTCCCCCACTAGCTGCAACAAATGCAGCTAAAGAAGCCCGGAAGAGTTCTTCAAACTTCTCGCCTACCATCAGAGACCTCAAATCTGTAAGTAGGAAACAAGCCCCACACCCCATCTTTGCACACCGGATGGGAAAGCTGCCCTGACTTTTAATTGCAGACTCGCACTGCTCAACTAAGCATGACCTGCAGAACTCATGTCTACATTGTTCAAGCTTGTAACCATCCTCAACTTCACAAAAGCAGATGGCACAGGAGTCCTCTTCATAACTTTTATCAGTTGATGAATCACTGTCTTGCGCAATCTCATGAATAACTGCTTGAATTTTAGGCCTCACGTCTTTTGCACCTCTTAGAGAGATGCAATGGTGTTTAGTATCCAAGGAAAAATCAACACCCGGAAACATTGCTTTAAGCCCATGAAGTTCAGGACCAAACTTCTGAACAATCCTCTTCATCATATCTGGAGGTAGCCCAGAACCGCGAAGATGGACTTGCAGTTGCTTGCTCTCATGTAGTGTCAGAAGGGATCTGATAAGTCTCTGTTTTGCCACCTGAATCTTGTCTTCTGCACCAAAGACCCTAACACTGAGGGCCTGCTTGTCAAAAAGGATGTAGGATCCTGTCTCCCTCTGAATCGCCTTCATAAGTACGACACCGTCACGAGAAAAAAGTTGCTGCAAAACTGAGGGTGTTATGGCTTCATGGTCAACAATGCTGCCTCTCATCAGCACCTCAATCGGTCTTCTAAGCTCTGCCACAATTTTGGTGGCAGGTGCAGATATATTTACTCGATATGAGCGATTTTCATTTTGTACTATAGTGCAATCAACTCCTGCAAATCATTACAAAACAAATCTATGATTTTTTTTTTTTGAAGAGGCAAATCTATGATTCAGTTAAAACAAATTATCAACAACAACAACAACAACATACCCAGTATATTCCCAACTCAGTTGGGATCCTGGGGGGTCAAGATGTACGCAGCCTTACCCCTGTATCTCAATACAGAGAGGCTGTTTAAGTAGTACGACCCAAGATGTATTGGTGCATTGATATATCGATTTCCGGCAACTTCACCAAATTAAGAAGCGTCGGAATTTCAATGAGCCATTTTGACCTAATCCACTATGAGCACAAAGCTCAAACATGTCAATAATGACTCTTCCAGCCATTTTGATCTAATCATTTTGATCTAATCCACTATGGTTCGTTGTTTACAACAAATTATCAACAACGAACCAAATTAAGTCACAAACTAAAAAACTTCTCACAGTTGAAAGGCCTAGACATACAAAAGCGAGAAAACAACATAACAATCTTGATGGAATATTTATCTTTCTCCTTTTCTTCGGAAAAAAATAGCTGCAGACCAACTGTATTTGTAAACTTTTTGGCACCAAAGATGGCACGATCAATAGCCTAGTGCAGGGTCCTAAATGGCGAAAATGAAGCAATACAAGCTAACAGATAAGCTTAATGCTAACATTCATGCTTCTGAGGGCTACATAGATTCTGGTGTAGCTAAAAATGAATCCAGACAAAATTAAAATTCATACTCGGAGAAAGAATAACAGAATATATCAAACCTTTTCTTCTGCGGGAGCTTGCGACTAAGGCGTTCAGCTGATCACGTATCACATTGTACACAGGTTCAGGACATGAGACAGAGCTACGAAACAAATGTTGACATTTCATCTTTTGCCAAAGAAGACAAACTGGTAATGCTTTCCCATCTATTTGGTCCAAAGCCTTTGCAGCCTCCAGATGTAGACTGCTATCAAACATAATCGTAGCTCTCATGTAAGTGTCCTTTGGTTCTGGTTGAAGCACCTCAACACGGACAAAGGTACCAAGAGGGTTGCCTTTAGGCATAAAAGAAGATAATTCTCTCAGAAGTGCTTCTTCACAAGCAGCAGGTGAGGGGTATTCAACAGCTTCTCCTCTCAACAAGAACACATCCAATATCTTCCTACTTGCCACCGGGGCTAAAACTTCAAAAATTTCATCTTCAGAAATTTGTCTATCAAGTCCTTTAAGCACCACGCTGTCCGTATACTTTGTGCTTTGTTCACAACGTGCATACCTTCCTCCAACTATTACATTGGATAATTCATGCACCAAGGCAGAAACATCCGCTTCCTGACACTTTACAATTGCCATACCTTTACTAATTCTGCGTGGCCAAGAAACTTTGGCTTTCAAAACAGAAAAGGGTAGCATTTTATGGTCGCTGGCATAGCTGTTCCGAGAAGGAATCACCGTTAGTAAGCCTCCACAGAACTCAGCCTGATTGAGCTCAGTAGCTCTCCTCGCAGCATCAGGTGACAGAAATGTAATCCTAATACAATCTTCTGGTACCTTGCTTTCTTGCCCAATACATGAAAACTTATGGAAACCACAAATAGCACCACCCGTCTCTCTCTCCATAAACATCAATAACTCTTTGTCATTAACACAGTTCATTTTGGAATGAAAGACGTCAACAGTTAAACATTTCTTCTCAAGCTCCAGGTGCTTGATCTCAGCACCAGCTCCAAAAAGAGCAACACTAGAAGAGACTTTGGGTCCTCCACTAAATAGACATCTTTCGGAGCACTCATTCTGCAATAATCTGAGTTCATACTCCAGTGCATCATTCACAATGCCACAAACCTTCTCCATGTCTTTGGGAGCAGCATACAAGTGAACCTCATTCTTGTCGACTTGAACTTCAACTCCAATTCGTTCATCCAAGTATTCTTTCCTGAGTTGTGAAACAAGATAATTCAAGTTACCATTACCTTTCCCGCAGAACCTTTTCAACAACAAACAGCCAAACCCTGTCAAAATTCTCTTTTGAAGCCTCTCCTTATCCATCTTACAAAAATCAAACAGTGGAGGGGGACTAAGAGCAGAAAATGATTTGAAGTCAATAGAAGAAACGCATACCAGATATTGGTAAGATGCAGAAAGAATTTCACCAAAAACAACCCAACTAGGTCTTTGATCAAACACAAGTAAAGAAGAAGAAGGATGAAGTTGAATATGTTTTCCTGTAAGTGCAACTACATAACCAAGGTCATCATAACCAGAGTACATGGCCACATTTTCTGCAAAAGCAGAGAGTATGATACTCTTCAGGGTCTCATCGTGCCGTGTCTGCATCTGGGGATCCCATTTCCAATAACTTGGTATGATCATATTGAGTTCATTTTTAAGGCACCAATCCAACTCTTGTACTGCCTCCTGGCATCTTCGCATCGATTTCGCATTGATGCTATTTTCCCAACACCAGATATTTCTTCTTTCACATGGGACAGCTTCCCACTCCTTGTAAACATTAAGCAAAGTGAAGAGATCACCACCATGATGACAAAATTGGACCTTAAGACAGTCAGATTTCAACTTGCTTTCTTGAGTACCAACTCTGCAAAATATGCTATTTGAATTTGCCACAACAGCAGCAAGAACAAGGCCTTCCCTACCAAGGCGATGATTAAAGCATTCAAGAATAATTTTACCAAGCCGCGGTTCAATACCCAGCTTAACTAATTCTCTCCCTTCTGAAGTCAATTCAAACACATCATCATGTGGTGCAACAGCTCCAAGTTGAACAAGATTTCTAAGGGCCATCTCAATCGCTTCAGTTTCAGGGGCATCAACATAATTAAAATCCAGTACATTCTTGAAACCCAAAGCAAGAATCCTCAGAACAGCCACACCTAGATGAACCCTCCGAATTTCAGGCTCCTGATGAGCAGACATTTGCTCGAAATCATTCTCAGAGTAAAGTCTGTAGCACCTCCCAGGTTCAGTCCTTCCAGCACGACCAGCGCGTTGGTTTGCGGAACTCTTACTGGTGCGGCAAACCCTGAGGACATTCATGCCAGTACTAGGGTCAAATTTACTCTCCTTCACCATGCCTGAATCCACCACATATTTGACACATGGAATGGTTAAAGAGGTCTCAGCAACATTTGTTGCAAATATTACCTTTCTCTTACCTGGATAGTTGACAAAAACTTTATGTTGCTCCTCAAAGGTTAGTTTTCCATGCAAAGGTAGGGCAATGGCGGAAGAGGATTGAAAGTTCTCACAGGCCCACTCAACATCCATCTGAGAGGTCACAAAAGCAAGAATCGTCCCATCTTTCTCTGTTCTGTGAATCTCAGAAACCATCTTCACCACATCAGAAACATATGAAACATCCATGCCAGAACCAGATTTTCCCTCGCATTCAGGAGGCATGTAACGAATATCAACAGGAAAGTTTCGTCCCTTGACACGAAATGTTCCACAATCAAAAAAGTACCTTGCTAGCTGGTCAGCATCAGCTGTTGCTGACATAATAATAAGCCTCAAATCAAGCCTCTGGCAAAGTAACTTCTTAATCATCGCCAAAAGAAGATCAGTGTTCAAACTTCTTTCATGAGCCTCATCGATTATAATGCACGAAACCTGGGATAGCTTCTTATCACTCATATAATGCTGCAATAAACAATTATCTGTGGTGAATATTATCTTGGACCTAAACTGCGACAGAGATGAATAAGATGGAATACAGATGACTGAGTTATCTTCATAGCAACCATCACTTTCTTCCCTAACCCTCTGAGCCAACAAAGTAGCAGCAAGTTTACGAGGCTGGGTGCAAATGATGGACCCAGATCCAGCAACTCCTGAATCAGCAAGAAATTGAACGATTTGCGTACTCTTCCCAGAGCCAGTCTCCCCAACCAAAACTATAACCTGTATAGCAAAGTGAATTAGAATTTGTGCAACCCCTAAAACAACTACAGATTCAGTTGACAGAAATTTTGAAAGCAACCAACCTTTTCAAACCTAACTAAACACTCTGGAAAGACTAGCAAATGAATTGCTTCATAGCCACTAGTTTCAAGTATAATGTCTATCAACAAAGTATTCCGACCTAACTCAGTGGTCTGGAGGGACACCAAACTTCCATATCCAAATTCAATATCCTTTCCACGGCATAACATTCAAATTCAATCAGATGGGAGTAAACAACATTTCACACAGACAGGATCCAAATAAAACAAAAACAAAAACAAAACAAAATAGGGGGTAAAAACAAAAAAGCTGTTGGAAGTATAACCTGCTGGCCATGAATTTGCTGCAGAATCTCCCTCCGCCATGCAAAAATAGGCAATCCATCATCGAGCCTCCGGCATTCCCTGACCATTAAGTAATGAATCCTTTCCCAATCAAATTCTCTCCCAAACTTGAAAACCCCAACTTTCAATCCCAAACTGTCGGGTTCTTCGTCCCCTTTTCCCTCCAGATAATCTACCAAACACTGAATTCCGTTCTTGAACTCCTTAATTCTCTTCTTAATCATATTCTCCTCTTGCCTAAACCCATCCTGCTTCTCCTTCAGCTCGTGAAAAACCCTCAATTGTTTGGGCTTCGCTAAGGCCAAATTAACCTCCCTCATCCCATCCGACACCCGCTCTAACTTCTCCTCCCACTTCTTCACCAACTCACCCTCAAATAAGGCTTTCAACTCCGACAGGAACAGAGATTTTAACCGATCATTCAGCTCGTCTGTATCAGACGGCACCTGCACATTTTGGATCAACCTCGGCGTCAAGACATGTCCCTTTTGAAGCCGAAGCTCCCACAACTGAACCATGGTCTCGAGGGCTTCACACCACTGCCGATAACACAAGAAACCCAGAACGTCCCCACTCTCATTCACCCTAAAACTTTCCGGTTGGAACTGCAATTTCGAAATCAGCCCTTCTGTTACCGACTTATTAACACCCCGGCAGTTAGAACTCCACCGAAGCTGAACAACGAAGTTGGGCCGAGAGGGAATAGGCCTGGTGGGCTCAGGAGGTCGATCCCGGCGGTAGTTGGGATTCAATTGGGGCTTCCCCTGGTGGTTGTGGTGGTGGTAGGAAGGTGGCCGCCCACGGACTTCACCACGGCGGTCATAATTGATCGGCGGCGAGAACCCGTGGCGGGAAGAGTGAAATGGAGACCGTTGCATTAAATTACAGGGTATAGGGTTTTGGAAAAATTGCAGGGAAGACAAAGCGAAAGAGGCAAAATTATGAATTCTGGGTGAATTATTCTGTGTGTAAACTGTAGAGTCAGCGAACAATCGTACTGTTTTGTAATTACGTGAGACTTTATATGCTAAATAATAAAATTGTCAGCCTCTATTCTGCCCAAGCAGAATCTAATATTTTATTTTTTTAATGCAATATTATTGATTGTTATTTGATTTTTTTTTTCTTAGGTGTTAACGTGTTACTCATGCGTATATGTATATCATTGAAAAATAGCGATTTTTTTTTTTTTCAATCCGTTAACGAAACGTTTTATAGCACAAATAAATACAACAAAATCATGAGTCTAAAGAGACAAATAATGCAAGTCGATAGATAAATGATCGTTAGGTTTATTGACCGCGTGACAAAAAATTTATGATATTAACAATAACATTTTTCAAAAACACATGAAATAAGAGTTTTTCAGCGTGTTATACTTCTGAAGTTCCGCTTCACCGACCGTCCTATGAAATCCAATAAAAGTAATTTATAATGAGGAATTATCCAATATTCTACGAGAAGGTTTTAGAACACTTAAATCAAAAGTTCACTGAAGAAAATATAAGAAATGAAATAATGATTAAGAACGTGTCAATGAGGAGAAAATTTAATACACAGCAGCTGTACCCACCTCTTCCTCGATTGTCCACAATTCAGTGACATACGGAGACTGGCGCCTCCAGTTTTTTCTAATGTGTCCACCCAGACTATAGCATCCTTATCAGAATGGTTTGCTTAGTGGCTACAATCAGGACCTTCGGCTTCTGACTTGGACATCTTCTTTATGATCTGTTGGTAGATTTAGTTAGGGAGAAATGACAAATTTTGGAGGAATCATCACCCTCAGACATTGGCTCAATGGAATCTTATCCAACATGAATTTCAATCTCATAGGAACAGATGTAGAAGACAGAGGAGATTCACTCAACGAGTCAATACTCAAGTGCGGCAAGAATGGATCATGCTACCATTCTCACAGATGGTTCTTTTGATCCAATCTCCCGTTGTGCAGCAGGGGCGTGGAAAATCACCTCTCCAACAAATATGATTATGCAGATAAAGGCCACAACATTGCAAGCTTTAACTCCTTTTCAATCGGAAGCATTAACTTGTTTGTTGGCACTACGTGAAGCTTCCAATTTTAGAATCATTATGGTAAAGGTTTTTACGGATTGTGAGATGTTCACTCTTGATTTTAATCAGATACCAATTACGACGGAAGCTCAAGAAATCATTGCCCTATTATGTAATCTAATTTCGAGTTTTTTGTTCTGTAAAATTTTTAAAGTTACTAGGCTAGACTTAAATGAAGTTCATAAGTTAGCATATAACAAAATGTGTTGTAATAGATTAAGTTCTTAATATAATCAAGAACCTTTTTTTTTTTAAAAAAAAGGATATTGGTGTTTTTTTGGGGAGGGGGGAGAGTTAGGCAGGTAGATAGAAAAAGCAATGAAGTGCTGATTCGTTAGCAAAACTTGGATTCACAATACCTCTAGGAATCCAATTTTGGGTCCAAAGCTCCCCTGAATCGGAGTCGTTACTGTATCAAGATATTTTGAATCTCACCATTCATGAGACTTTTGTACCAAGCAATATATATATATATATATATGTATATGTATATATATGTGATTTTTTTGACCTCATAAATTTCTTCTTCTCTTTCGTAAAAATACTAACTATTTTTCCCTTTTTTGTATATAGGATGTAGGCCAGCGATATTGTCAGAGCAATTTTTAGCTGTCAGAACAAAAAATTATTGTTTTACCAAAATTACCCCCTAGACAGTCAAAGTGATTTTAATTTGCTCAAATCCGTTTCTCCCGTAAAAAAGTGCAAGTTATTGAGGGCGTATTAAATTATTTCCAACTAATTTCACCATTTGGGTCACTGATTCATCATACAGACTTTTGTTTTTTTCTCTTGATTCACCGTTTGTTATACAGGCGGACAGGCTTTCATTTTCTTCTCTAACTTCACTGTTCTCCCACTCCTAATCTAGCAATCTCTACGGCCTTCCAAAATTTTCCCCCTATATTGGAACCAAAGTTGAACGGAGCAAAAACCAAAGTCCAAGAAAATTGTTTGTGTTAAGTTATATGTTTCTCTATTCCTTGGAGATTAGTAACTGGATAACACTTGTATAATTGGAGAACATCAACGGCCATCATTGTTAAGTTTTTGTGATTGAATTGTGGCCATAACCAAAATCAAATTCATGAAACCAAACTCACTTCATGAAAAGGGAAAACGACTTTGAAATGGGAATCCTTATTCAATTTCCCAGAACTACGTTGACCTAATTAACCAGATTAATACTCCAACGTGTCAATAGGAAGGTAAGATACTTCTAAAATAGATTAGCCCGCTCATCAAACCAATTAAATCCTTTTGAAATATCAAACAGACGAGAGCATTTATATCGGACTCTCTGAACTCCGGCCGGCACTACCATCATAGGTCGTCACCGGCTGTTCTTCGCTAAGAAAATAATCGTCTCATCAACTGGTTGCAGAGTCAGAGAGATAAAAAAGCTCCCCAAAAAATTAAGAAAATTGGATGGCCAGAAGGACCACATAATTTTATTTGGTGAGAGGAAAAAAATTACCTTTGACTAAGATTTTTTTTGTCAAAACAATAATTTTTTGCTCTGGCAGCTAAAAATTGCTCTGGCAATATCGCTGGTCTAGGATGTAGAGCTGACGAGGGAAGAAACCTTTCAAATTCAATTACTAATAATTGAAAGGAAATCTAATAACTTTGGTATACTAACTTAACAGCAAGTTTGCTTCTAGTTTGAGCAGATTAATGTATGTCTTTATACACAGTGATCATAATTAAGCAAAGGGGCAAAAAAAGAAAGAAATCTATATTATTTTCTTAACCATAAATGAGCAAAAAAAAAAAACAAAGAATTTACGTAATCATAACGATTGTAATTAATGTAATTAATTTGTGTTTCTAGCTAGTCGTTTAAATGCAAAGAACAAAGATTGTGAATTCCTCTGTATCTTTTGGTTCTATCTTATTTTCATAGCGTTAAAGTAAGATCTAGACAATCTCCTATTTTCTACATCTTCTACGGCTAAGAACAAATCACAAAAGAATATATTCATTTTCCCTTTTTTTTAAAAAAAAAAAAAAACTTTCAGGAGAAAGCAGATAGTAATTTTTTGACTTGGTGTCCAAGCAACATTGATGATATCTTTCAAAACAAAGTCGAAATTGTCTGTTTGTCAACATGGCTCTCGAAACCTGTACAACAGTAGTAATTGATTAGTGAAACTTGAACCCAAATTAAATATTTACTTTTAACAAAAACCATCGAGACATTGTGCATTAACTTTTGAATTTATTCTTATCGTGCCAATACAATTTTCGTTAATATATATTTTAGTATTTGTTCAAGTAAAATTTTTTTAAAAAAATTTAAAACATAACCGAAAGTGAAATAAGAGTCTGCATATATGTAGTTACTTATGTCCCTTAATCAACTTAAAATTTTATTGGATATGTACCATACTTTTTTCGTCTCATAAAATAATTTATATCGTACTGTGTTAATCATAGTGAATTATTTCGGTGGGACAGATGGAGCGTTGAATAGAAAATAATGCCATTACCATTTTGGTCCGGTGACTTTCCTAAAATACTGTATATAATGGTGGATAAATTAGGCAATTTCATTGTGACGTTGTGAGCTCTCCACCGCACTTCTCATTTCTCCCGAAATGATAGATGTCGTGTTTGTAGAGAATGGAATACACAGTGCTTTTTTAAGGACTTAAAATTGATATAACATAAGAGATGGTTAGGGGGTGAGCAAAAATTTGATGGAATCCTTTCATGAAATGCATGCTGAAATTTCTTGGTTAAATTATTTCGCGAAATTTTAATCAAAATTAATGACCACCATGGGATGTTAGCAGTTATTACATTATCTTACTTCAAAAATAGGAACCTTATAATTGAGTTTAGAAATTGAAGATTATTTTTAAAGTACTAACATTTTAAAATCATTACTTAACTGACTTAAAATTTGTCCTATAATTGATCTCGAAATGAAAGATGTTTTTTAAAAGGCCAGAAGAAATTACACAAAGTTATTAATGGCTATTTTGTCCAGATCTAATCAACCTCATAGACAAAAGAGGTAAAGATTGTGACATGTTTTGTCTTTTTTTTTTAAAAAAAATATTGATTGTAGATGTAGTAGTCGTAAAAATATTGTCGCTAACTTATCGACAATAAATATAGAATCCATCTCCTTGTATTTAAACATGCGATACAAAAGAATTTGTAACTTTGTGAATTTTTTTTTTAAAAAAAAAGTAACATTATTTTACATACAATATCCAAAATAATTGCCAGTCTAACCTAAATTTGAATTAGACGCATTATGTAATTTGGATTGTAAAGCTTCCTAGTGGCGAGCTCAGATTTGTTAAGAGGCATTCGTCCTGATAATTATTTGGCTTAATTATTTTTTTTTATATTTAGACAAATTGTATAGATAATCTAAACATGATTATTCTTTTAAGAAAAGAAAGAAAGATTTTTTTTTTATTATTTTTAATTTTTTGGTTTCTGTAGCAGTCGCATTTCAACCTCTATATTGTGCGGCTTATCTGTGAACTTGCTTTAGGTCATACTTTCTGTGTTCAACAAACTGTAAGAAGGTATCTACAACTATACTAAATGGTCAGAGTAAAATAAGAACAACAAATATTAACCGAAAAACATGAAACATATCGAGTTATCTTAGTTATAAGACAAGCCTAAGTATGGAACAGAAAAGGCCATAACATATTTTGGTGCTTCAAAACTAGAAACTAATGAGTAGTAAATAAAACTTGGAAATACATATAAACTATCCTAATCTTTTACCAGTTATTATTACCTGAAGCCTGCTCATGAGTTGCTTGAGTTGTATCTGAGACAGCTCCATTTACATGGCTATCCATATATGTTTCACGAACATGCCTCACCTTGGCACGTCTGTTCTCAAGATCTCTTCGATTTTCAGTAGCTGTTGGAGTTACTAATGGCACTCTTTCTGCAATTGAAAGACCATAACCTTTGAGGCCGACATAATTAGCGGGGTTATTTGTCATCAACTTCATTGTGCGAACGCCAAGATCTCGCAATATCTGCAACCAGTTCCAATAGACTCAGCATTTATCAGGTTGTAGTAAATGAATGTGAACCAAGTCCAACTATAGTTTTGCTCAAAGCTGTGAAGATCGACTCCTTGTGAGAGGAGGAAAACATTACAACTAGTAGAACGCTAAAATAGCTAAACAACAGTAATTGAGTAACTATAGGAAATGTTGCATTTAGCTTAAAGACAAACGCAACCCCCCTCATTGTGGCACAGCTCTAATGATTGAAATTTATGAAACTATGTCGAGTACTAAAAATGATGATAATGGGACAAACAATATTAAAAGTAGGATGCTCTTGAAAATACTAAGCAAATTTGCAAATGAACCATGACTTTTACGGCTTTGGTTACATGCTCATCCAATCATTTCTGAACAACAAATTGAAAAGTTAATACCTGAGCACCAATTCCGCACTCCCTGGACTCAACAGGTAAATCGAGCTCCTCATTGGCCTCAACAGTGTCGCGCCCATCAGCTTGCAGGTTGTAAGCACGGAGCTTGTGCCCCAAACCAATGCCCCTTCCCTCAAGTCCACGAAGATAGACTAACACACCCCGGCCAGCTGCTTCGATTTGTTTCATCGCAAAAGCAAGCTGGTTACCGCAATCACATCTGGAGGACCCAAATATATCACCAGTGAGGCATTCTGAATGTACTCTAACAAGGATGTTTTTCCCATCTCCAATATCACCCTGACAATATAACATAATGTCATGTTTGTGTTCCTTTTCACTACTGGAAAGAATATATCTAACCCAAAATCTAAATCTAAGTTGTATCCCCACATTCTAGTTAATGGCAACATGGCATCAGCATCGATAAAATGGTCAGAAAGTTGTAAACTCATCATTCAAGCTCAATCCCATCTTGCAATGGATGTGAAACATTTTTAGTCAATAACTTTCTGAGTTAGACTGCAAAAGAAAGGGATAAAGCACTCCTCGAATTCACAAAAATGCACCGCTTGAGTACTCCGGTTGCAGACTCTTACTTTAACCATGGCAATATGCTCAATTCCATCCAGAAGAGACTTAAAGCAGTAAGCATTAAAGGGTCCCCACATTGTAGGAATTGGTGCTACACCAGCAAGTTCCACCAGCTTCTCCCTTTTCCTGCGGTACCTGTCATATCCCATTTGACAAAGACGGTTCACGTTTTATGCAGAGGCATCCAAGATGGTGCAAGTGAAAGACATGAAGTGGTAAAGAAAAACTGCATGTTCATGCTTAGCTTCTCTTTTCCTTTTTAAATTTCATTTACCATCACGCCATTTTGACTTACCAGATTCCAATTCAGGGGGTGGATGGGGACCCTTCATTGTTAACCATAAAATCAGCAATTTATTGCAAGAATGATAGGTATTGACAATGATGACAAACCTAATAAGATCAGCAATAGAAATGATCTTTAAATTTTCCTCCTTGGCAAACTGGCGAAGCCTTGGCAATCTAGCCATGGAACCATCATCATCTACTACTTCACAAAGAACAGCAACAGGTTCTAACCCGGCCAATACGGCGAGATCCAGAGAAGCTTCTGTATGACCGGCCCTTTTTAGTACTCCACCTTCTCTGTACTTGAGAGGAAAGATATGACCTGGGCGGTTAAAATCCTCTGGCTTTGAATTCCTCAAAGCAAGGGCCAGTATAGTTGCAGCTCTATCACGAGCTGACACACCTGTTGTTGTGCCATATTTAGCATCCTATCAGATTCAAATGATGGGTGTCAATTAGGGAAAGGGAAAAAGAAAAGATGAAATTAGAAATTTCAGATAAGCCATAAAAATATCATTTTGATCATGGGAAGTGCAATTAAACAGAACAGTTATGGTCCTGAGTTCACAAACTTGCATTGGAATTTGAATTGAATATACTATACGATAAATTCAAAATCAATTAAGAACACAATGAGTTACACTTAATGAAACTTCCTTTAAACAACAGAAAGGAATTAAAACACATTTGAAGACACATTTATGACATAAAACTAAGCTGAAGACAAGAAAAAATTCATGTATATAGGCACAGGTGAGATTTAATGTCTGCTACCTATCATAATCAAGGAGCTCATACCACAGACACAGTGAAGGCAGTGGTGAGTTTCTCGGCGTTCTCATTCTGTGAGACCATTAGTGGAAGTTTCAACCTCTCCAAATCTTCTCCTTTCATGCTCACACAAACTATTCCAGTTCCATGCTTTACAATAAACGCCATTGTTTCAGGTGTCACCAATGATGCTGCCATTATCAAATCCCCCTCGTTCTCTCTTTCCTCATCATCCACAACAATAACCATCTAAAAACACTTCTTATCAGTATGTAGTACATTAAAACAGTGATTTGTCAAATGACAATCATGTGTGAGCTAACGAAGATATACCCTGCCTTGTCGGATGTCTTCAATGGCTTCTGATATGGACGAAAATCCAGCAGTTGGACGATCCAAATTAAATTCATCATCGGCTGGGAAAGACCCGCATGTATTAGAAGTTATTTCAGCTGCTATAGCTTTTAAGGATTCAGCATCACACTCATTGACTAAGTCGCCTTGATGCGATGGAATATCACTCTCTTTCAATAATAATGTTGGCCTCGTGCAGCTGGTCTTGAACTTCAAGTAGCAGCTTTGAGTATTCATCAATCTCAAATCAGTTCCATAACTCCTTGTTACAGGAATGATGCAACAGAGACCATTCTGGTGCCTAAGAAAGAGAATAAATTTATGCATTGTCAAAAATTGAGCGGTACTCTATTCTCCTGTATCGACGCTTCATTATTCTACAATTTGCGGAAACAGCCTCTTACAAAAAATAAAGATAAGGTTAAACTACATATATAGGCCTAAATGGCCAGACCTTCCCCTTCCCCTGGACCTTCACTTGAGGGAGTTTCTTTGAATCAGGTTGCCTTTTCATTTTATTATTATTATCTTCCTCTGTTAACCGAACCTAGAGCTAGAGACACTTTAGTCATCGCATTCCACAAATCCAAATTCCATATTTCTAACTCTGAACTTTATCTATAAGTAGTATAAATGTACACAAAGTTGGGACAATCAAGCCCATTTGTGGCTTAGAAGTTGTTTAAGGTAGACTCTGAGCAGCTCATTGTATCTTACAGAACTGTCTTTGTTTTTCTCTGAAATGAATACCGCTTTTGACAACAAAAAAGAAAAAAAAAAGAGCAATTCCTACTTCGCAGCACCCGAATCAAATAAACAACTTTCTTCAAAAGTTAATCACTACTGAGAAGAATTGGTTACATATGAAGAATAAACTAAGCAACTACAAGATAATTATTCAAAATACAATGGTTAGTTGTATTACAAAGACATTTCATACTATCATAATGATTAAAATCCAGGAATTTTAATTAACATTGGCTATTAGAAAAATAAATAAATAAAATCAGAACCCTTATCGGATAATCAAACCGGGAGCAACACAAACGACTTCTTAGAGAAAAAAAAAAGAAAAAAAAAAAAGACAATGCATGATTCGGAAAAGGGAGTACTCTTGAACGGTTGACCCTAAAGGAAATGTTAACAAATTAGGCAAGAAAAAACAACTGGGCCTCTAGTCCAAATGAAAAATCACAATTTTTGCAGCATTATGAATTTATGAGAGCATTGCAGAATCCAAAAAAAAAAAAAAAAAAAAACCAACGATGGGTGACTTAACTGTAAACGTGAAATCGCCATGGAAGAGAAATTGAGCTGGGTTGAAGCCATTTCCTTGAAACCCGAATTCCGCTTCAACGAATTATCAAACAAAAAGGCACACAGGAAGCGCGAGAAGATATAAGATGAGGGTTTGGATCATTCAAGAAACAAAGGTGGATATTGTTTTCCATTTCTTCTGGGACCAGCCCCGAAAGCAGTTTTTTGGAAACTTTTTGCTGCAAAATTTGCAATGCAAAAAAAAAAAAATAGTGATGTCAGCAGACTGTGTGATTGTGAGTTATAAAAGATGGTTGACTTGTTAGGAGGTTTTTTTTGCACTTTTTTGACTTTTGAGGGATAGAATACTGGATTGGGGATTCTTGAGAAAGAAAACATCGGCCCAGCCCGAATACTATATCCTCCATAGTTAAAAACAACTTTTGTTATATGGTAGGAAGGAGGTATATTTGTTTGATTTCAAAAAAATAATAAAATTTGATTGATTCCTTCACTTTGATGTTCCACTTTCGATGATCATAAAAGGAGCTAATTTATTCAATTCCATATATTTGTTAGATGATTTATCGAAAGATATAACCAGAGAAAATGATATTGCAAATTAATATATAGCTGAATGAGAATTCAAATAAAAGAGAAGGCTTAAAGGTGAATGGGAATGCAAAAAGTTTTTAGGATTAATTATATGAGCAAATCAGATTAGAAACTTTCTTCTTTTTTTTTTGTAAAACTGTAAATATATTAATGAAAAAGCTTTGCGGACCATATTTACAACCAAAGTACTCTATTACATGCACAAAAAACTTATGGACAAACTAAAACATATGACACTTTTTATAGGAAAATAATGATATATTAATGTTACTCTAAAATATAGTAAAATCCGTCACACTTGCCGGCATAATACTAGTATTTTATTATATTAAAGAGAAGATAGTTAAAGAGCAAGTTCTTTAATTGCATGTCTTCCAAATGGCAAACTGTTTCAAGACAGTGAAAGAAAAATGTTAGATCTTTCTCACTTGAAATAAGAGAGGATTTTCCCTCTCCTAATTTTAAGAGAGAAAATCTTCTCCATTTGTGTGGTTGATCTGACAAAGTTAAAAACAACTTTTCTTATGGAAGGAGGAGATATGTTTAATTGAGAAAATTTTAATCATCATAATAATAAAATAGTTGTGATACGTACAGGAAAAAAATAACAAGGAAAATTTATTAGGAATAAGGTGTCAAACATCTAAACTAGACCCTAACCTTAAATACTTAAACACCGTATGGAAAGTTTTTAAAATGAATGGATGAGACCATTTCCTTGTCATTTTTCTTTATAATTTTTCCTTCTACTTTGATTGATTCCTTCACTTTGAGTTTCCACTTTCGATTGATCATCAAAAGGAGTTTTTTTTTTTTTTTTAATAATAACATCATAAAAGGAGTTAATTTAATCAATTCCATAAATTTGCTAAATGATTTATCGAAAGATAACCAGAGAAAATGATTTTGCAAATTAATATATTCTGCAAACATCCAGTCTTCCATTATTTAAATTGATTCCTAATTTTCATGATCTTTTGCATCCCGCGGAAAGTTTATCTTCCTGCATGCCTACCAAAATCTTTATTTGTGCGATTTAGTGAGTCAAACTCTTTACGTGATTCAAAGTAGCCTACTATAATAGTGTTTTTTACGTTCTTAAAAAAATTGTCTTTTTTTATAATATTAATTAAAAAGATAAACAATTATTTTGCAAAGAAATAATTATTAATATATTTTGAAGATGGTGGTGAAAAAAATCACTTGAATGTATGTACCCAACACACAAAGCGAAGTAAGAAGATGCGTAATTTAGTGGAACGATCCGTGGACGGTGTAGTTTTGACATGATTTCACAAAGTTAGTTTTATTGAAAATGACTTGATTTTAGAGATAATAAGGAGTTTTATGATGAGATTCCAGGAGTAGGGAAATCCTCCCGTTGATTACTTATAGTTTCTTTTTATGATTTAAAAAAAAAAAAAGAAGAAAAAACCGTCTAGAAGAGAAATAAACTCAAGAATCTTCCTGTCAATAATGTTATTATTTATATATATACCCTCTTCCTTATCAAGAAATTAGAAAGGACAACATAAACTGAACCCCAACCTCTTTAAATATAAAAAAAAAAAGTACCTTATTCTTATATTTGTCAAAACATTTTTGTTGAATTAAGATAATTTAGCCAGTACTACTCTTTTTCTAACACGCTCTTATGATAGATAGTTCTAGTAATCAAAAGAAACGATCTACTACCACTTTATGAGTTAAGATAAGAAACATTTTGGTAGCTGCCCCTTGGAAATGAATCCTCTTTGTTGCCACATTTGTAAAGGTTGATGTGGAGATGCAATATGTTTTTTCGTTCCGTAATAAATTTTTAAACATTCATTTAAGTAGCAACGTGTTCATGCTATAATTATTTTATTTCTTAGTGGCTCGATGTTCATAATGGAAAATCTTCTTTTTTCCATAACATGGAAAAACCATGGGCTTCAACTTTTCATCAAGTTGTTCTAATCCAAGGGCCTAAAAAAAAAAAAAGAAGAAAAAAAATCAAATGTTGTAAATAGACCGGGGAAGTATGTTGTGCACTACAGCAATGACACAGTCAGTGAAAAAGTATAGTGAAACTAATAGTAACGGATATGTCTTTACTAATTAAGGGTAGAATTGTAATTTTTTAAGAGAAAGATAGTAATTTTTACTAGAAAAAGTGACTACAAAATAGGGAGACAATTCAGTCATTATTTATTTTCGCTGTATATTATCAATATACTTATCATTTTCCTTGTGCACTATTACATGCTTAATCGATAGCATAAGGCGAGCGTGAAATCTGAAAACAATGAAATAATAAAAGTTGTAAGACAAATAAGAAATTCAATAGTAGTATGAACGCAACAATTCCTCTATGAAATCAGTTCGATGGCTGCATGCAATATATACACCATATGCTTTTTTCTTGGCGCCAAACTTTAACTAACAAAATTAAAAAACTTCCACATTAAAAAAAAAAAATCACTAAGATATTAATCTTTCTGTCCATCTCAGCTGTTCAGATTCTCAATCTGTCCATCTTAGCTGTTCAGATTTTTAAAAGGGAAAAAAGTAGGATCCGACGATCCGTAATATTATACTCCCTCCGTCCCATAATTATTGTCCAGTTTGGAGTTTCATTTTTAGTTCAAATTATACTAAAAGTGAAATCTCAAACTAGACAATAATTTTAGGACAGATGGAGATGGAGTATATGCGTCTTGGGAAATCACTTGGTTTAATGATTCATCAATGAGTAGGTTGAACAAAGATATCTTATATTGTGACTAACTTAGTTGTGTTTTTACTCCATGCATGTAAAAGAGAAACGAGAATATTGATTGATATAATGATACGAGATGGAATTGTAAATATACTTCATTTGGAGTAATTGGTAAACTTGGTCACCATAATTGCATGAATCTCTCTGGGAAACATTTCCGTAAGTACATAATCTCATGAAAATTAGGGGGATGATTTTTAACATGAAACCATGCCTTACAAAACAATGTCAATTTGGAGTTGAACCGAAACTTATTCCCAGCATAACACAGTGCTGTAAATAAAAATATAGAAACCACTCATTTATAAACGAAATCAGAGTGTATTAAATGTAAAACACAGTCTAAAAAATAAAAATATACTCGAACAAGGTTTATCACGGTCTTTACAAATACATTGATTACAAACTTATTCCGAATAGGACACAGTCTTGTAGCAAAAAAATTTAGTACTCCTTTCGCCCCACAATTATTGTCTTGTTTTAATTTTCATTTCTAGTTCAAATTGTACTAAAAGTGAAATTTCAAACTGGACAATAATTTTGGGACGGAGGGAGGGAGTATTTCGATTACAATTCCCACACTTTTAACATATATTTGGAGAGAGTAATGCAGACTTGCGTATTCCCATTTCCTAACTGTCATTTTTTTTTTCTCCGTCTCTCTCTTTTTATTTTTTCCCTCTAAAATCTCTGTTTCCTGTTCTACCACAACCGCCACTTCAACTTCCACTCCACCACCACAACCGCCAGCGCCCGGAAAAAATGTCAGCCCCTCCTTCACCACCCCGGGAAGACATTCTCCCCACAACAACCACCTCTGCCTCACCCGACCCACATGCCCGAACCTCAAAAAAACGTTCCAAATTCCCAACTCTGTCTATTCCGAATTGGGGCGGAGTCCGATTGGTTCCCTTCATTATCACCATCGTAATCGGTCTAATCCTCAACTTCGCCGTCCCGAAACCGCACAAGCTCTCGAGAAAAGCATGGCAGCTTCTCGCCATATTCCTCACCACCATCTCCGGCCTAATCCTCAGTCCCCTGCCTGTGGGTGGTTGGGCGATTTTCTGCTTAACTTTAGCCGTCATAACCAAGACCTTAACATTCGCTCAGGCGTTTTCGGCCTTCACCAATGAAGTTATTTGGTTGATTGTGATTTCCTTCTTCTTCTCCCGTGGGTTCGTTAAGACTGGGCTTGGGGAGAGGCTGGCTATGGCGTTTGTTTGGTTGCTTGGGAAGAATACTCTGGGTTTGTCTTATGGGCTGGTTATTAGTGAGGCTTTGATTTCTCCGGCCATGCCCAGTAGCACCGCCAGAGCCGGCGGTATATTTCTGCCGATTATCAAGTCACTTGCTGAGGCTAATGATAGCTTTCCTAAAGAAGAATCGGCCAGAAAGTTGGGTGCCTTTCTGATTCAGTCTCAATTGCAGGTCCTTTTCAGTTTCTTCTTCTCTTTTACTATCAGTTTTGTTTACATTAATTGCATGATTCCTGTTCAATGATTGACTGCAGTATATTCATATTCATCCTTAATTTGGTTGTTTTTTCGGATTATTCTGTGTATTTTATTTAATGCAATGCAACCTTTTTCTGGGACACTTTTTTTTAGGAAACCTTAACTTGTACTCCAGTGAAATTGATTGATCAATTATTAAGGCAACTGCAAATAGTTTTTTAGTGGATTTTGTAATGTGCCACACTATTACTAGGAAGATACTGAATGGGGAAAGATTGACAAAGAAAGGCTCTCACGCGAAGGTCCAGTTGGCCTAAAAGTTGGATAGTCAAACCAAGAAATATTCTAATATCTTTTCCCAATAAAAATTTTCACAAGACAAGTTGGGAATACCCTTACCTTTTTTGATATTTGCATTCCTTTTTTGCCATCAAGTTGTGTGGATGGCAGAATGGTCCAGTGTATTACCCATCATCTTGGCTGCATTGTGTTTCTTTAATATTCTTTGAAATCCTAATATTACTTTGTTTGATTTTGCCGCAGAATGGTAATTGGTAAATATTTATAATCTGTGATTTTGTCTGTTTTTGACAGTCTTCCAGTAGCTCTAGTGCTCTCTTCCTGACTGCAGCAGCCCAGAACCTTTTGTGCCTGAAATTCGCAGACGCTCTTGGGGTTCATATTTCAAATCAATGGGTTACCTGGTTCAAATTTTCTTGCATACCTGCACTCATTACCTTACTTTGTACCCCGATTATAGTGTACAAAATCTTTCCTCCTAAATTGAAACACACACCTGATGCTTCTGTCATGGCAAAGGAGAAACTGAATCAGATGGGTCCTTTGAAGAGGGAAGAATGGTTTATGCTTGGGTCCATGCTCATAACAGTTACTCTATGGATTGCCGGGTATGTATATGCATTATATGTATACTGTTTCAGTTCTGGAGTTTACTTAGCAGTTGGCTTTGATGATTTGAACAATGTGTGTTATGTTAAAACTTCGACAGGGATATATTTCATACTGCAGTTGAAATTTAATGGTTGTTCCTAGTGGGATTGCTTTAGTTTTCAACATAACGGGTTTTGTTTGAAGTGTACCTGATATTAAGTTTAGTTGTCTAATTCTTTGAGGTATTTCTTTTTTATCAGTTTTTTGTAGTGAAAGGAGGTACAAGATTTCGTTTTAGCAACCCTCAAGAATCCTGATAGAAAAGGATGATTGTTTATGATTTTAGATCTTGTCATGTGAAATAACCCTGGGTTCTTCACATTACTTCTAGGTTAAGTTTGCACTGACTCATTTCGACAGTGTGTGAAAATCCTTGTGGATCAATGGTTTGTAATGAGAATTCACTCCTGTATAGTGATCAAGTTGTCTGCATAACAGGCTTTTTGAATGTTACCTCCACTAAAGTTCATAATAACTTGAATTTTATGCCCTCTTTGGAATCATTATCCTCTTGGCAATGATTTTTCGCTAGTTTTTCTTTCCAACTTAGTCACTGCATAGAAGCAAACAATTCTCTTCTTATTTATTTTGATTGCATCAACATGGTGACTGATTGTAGTTCTTATTTGCGTGCAGAAAGGCTCTTGATATATCTAGTGTAATAGCTGCCCTGCTTGGTCTGTCATTACTTCTGCTGTTGGGGGTGCTTAATTGGAATGATTGTTTGAGTGAAAAGTCAGCGTGGGATACATTGACATGGTTTGGGGTTCTAGTGGGCATGGCCAGCCAATTAACAGCTCTTGGTGTTATTCCATGGTTGTCAGATCGTGTTGCTCATTTACTCACAGCTCACTCAATACATCAGTTTGGTGCATTTGCTATCCTTCAGCTGGCATATTTCGTCATACACTATCTCTTTGCAAGTCAAACAGCCCATGTTAGTGCTCTATACTCTGCATTCCTTAGTATGCATCTGGCCTCAAAAGTACCCAGCCGAGTGGCTACTTTTGCCTTGGCATACAACACAAATCTTTTTGGTGCATTGACACATTACAGCAGTGGCCAGGCTGCCGTCTACTATGGAGGTAATGGTTTTACCAGTGTAACAATTAATTGGAATCATAGAACCAAGACGATACTTCTCGAAACTTTGCTAATATGTAGATTTTTTACACGTTTTATCATCTTATGGTGGAATCATATCTAGCAAGTTTAGCTAACATTAACATGATGCACCCTTCCATCACCATAAATTAACAGGTCGAATGACATCATGAGAATATCTATCTCAGTAAATTTCATTAATTTTAGACACGAGCTATCCACAAATAGTTCCCATTTTTCAGTCATTATTAGTCCATTTCAAGAGCATATTTGATAAGTTTGTATGGTTCAAGATCCATTCTTAGCGAGGGGGCTTATTATTTGAGAAAAGTATCTTGATACTGTCAGATTTTGACTTCTTGATCAACATTTTCTGATACAATTTTTTCGAGATCAGAACTCTTTTGAAGGGATCAACTTTTCTTCTTGTTTGTTAAATTTTTCTTGAGCCAACGTCATCTCTAGGATCCTGAAGTTCGTTTTTATTTTGTTTGGCAGCTGGTTATGTCAAACTAAAGGACGTTTTTAAGCTTGGCATTGTCTTGGCTGTGTTTAACATTGTGGCATGGGCGTTACTTGGAGCAGCTTGGTGGAAGATTTTGCATCTGTACTGATACTAACACTGGTAAGTTCATTTTTTTTCTCATCTCATTCCGTTTTCATAAGACATCCAATGGGTAGTCCTTGTCAAGTTTGGATCTTCAAAGCTCAATAAGAAAAATCAAGAAAGGCATCCTATTCTGGATGAACTGCTAGTAGTTAACAACTGCAACGCATACTCACATAGGTAGAAGTACAAATGCTTTATCTAGATTCATTCAACACTATCTTGGACTTCATTGTGTATATTCCAGGAAGCTGATCAAATGATCAGTGAGCAATCTCCTCAACTAAGCGATTCTAAGTATCTTCGGGCTTGTATTGCACTTACCAAAGGATGGAAAGATCGTGTTGCTGATAGAAACGTGATCAATGGTTTCTTTACACTCTACTAGAACTTATAGAGGATATACAGTACTTTTTTGGGAAGATACAAAACATCAACTGTAATTACCTCCTCCTGCTAGTTTTGTTTTACAGATTTAAGAGTGTTAACCTACACGGTTGTATTTCTGATGCTGCACTTTATTACATTAACAATTGTAAATAAGAAATATTTTCGGTTTTTAATTTTGCACTTAGCAATCTCAATCTTTTCTTTGAACATTCCATTTCATTTGACAAAAGAGTGCCATGATCATGTACTGGAAAAAGGAACAATTTTTTCCAAGCCTTCTGCATTCTTCTCTTTTTTTTGGAACAAACAAATGATAATCAGGCCACGTTAAAAGTTGGCTCTATGATATTGTTCATTTTTTGCCTTTGTTACCTACGAAAACCGTTTATTTTATATCATATTACATAATTCATATCGTGTCACAAATGACTGTCTCTTGACTTTTAAGAACTGGAACAACTAGAATTAATCTCTACTATCTAGAGTTGTAGGTAACATGATCTCATTCTTTTGGATATTTGTCAAACTTTTCTCCTTGAGTTAATGGGAATTTTTTTATCTACATTTATAATTTTATTAAAAAAATCTCCCTCCGAGGGGAAAAAAAACCGTTAATCCATCTAACACCACCAATCAGACATACAAAAAATATTACGTGCATCTTATAAAAACACCTACTCATAATATCCAATCAATCGTAATTTGAAAGATATCACAATCTATATACAATATGTTGTGTGCTCTAATCACAATCGATTCTTACTAAACTCCATTATCACACTCTGGTTTAGAATTTAGTTAGATAATAATGAACCCCAAAAATGTCCGATTTTTCTTGAACTTTGGACAATAATTAAACCAAATACGAATTCTAAAGAACGTGATAACATTAATAAATGACCTTAACAATCTATCATTTCATATGATGAATAACTCGGAATATGAGACTATTGTGATTACATTATCCGTTTCAAAAGCGTAATTGATTGAAATTATGAGAGTGCTTTAGAAGAATAATAACCTTTTTGTAGGGGGTAGTGCAATACCATGGTCGTCTTAATCGTGGGGCTGATGATCTGATGTGCTTTGCTTAATTGCTTATTCTTTTTAACATCTCATCATATAATCTATGGCGCCGTTTGGTTTACAGTATTTGCTATCAATCATCAGCAGTGCGCTTCTGAATAAACCTCTTTGATTTCTCCCCACTATCTATCTCTTGGCATTGTTCCCAAGTCAAAATCTTCGTGTTAGACCAGCATTAATTCTTTTGGTTTATTAGGCATCTTTCACGTATAAAGTCACGCTCTGACTAATCCGAATTTCAAATATATAGATTTATCTCGAAAACAAAGAAGCATGTGTTTCTTAGTACATGCACAAATAAATGAGTCGCTTATATCTTTTGATTTATGTCGAACTAACGATTGAGATCTATAAACTAACTATTAATTCATCCAATTTTTTAGATTTCGTCATATGTTTAACTTTTGATAATTGGTGAAATTCAAACTTACGATCTCTGTAAGCAGGAAGCAGTAGATTAATTGTAGTTACTTGTGTAGGGTGAGCGCATGATACACATTATCATGCAGAAGTCAAGGAGCATTTGTGAAGTCATTATGGTACTTAGATACGGAATCCAAACAACTATTGAAAGAGGCCAAAAAAAGAATAAAGCAGATATTAGCTTTACCCAACTAAGAAAGCTAAGCTGAAAAGAAAAAATTAAAAAAAAAAAAAGGGCACTCAAGACAAGAGGTAGGACGATGAACAACAACAATAAAGGTAGTATACATGCTGACTAAGGTTTGGCTATCCCACTAACTGATGAAGAGGAAGAAGAATGATTTAGACCCCAAAGTCAACTGATCCAAAAAAAAAAAAAAAAAGGCAGTACTTCAATTGCGAAAAAAATCATCAACACATTCACAAACGTGTTTGCATCTCAACCAATTGACACCAATATGTATGTATATAAAGGGCCCTTAAAAAGCAAAAGCCATTTCCGGTGCAAATGCAAAACACGATAATTGACTCTCAGTTTCCACATGCACTGTTGAAGATATAGTCGCTGGAACGTCAAATATGTAGTACTGTACTTTTTGGAATTAGTGCTGCAACCTACCGACTGATTAATTCGAATTTAAACCGGGTATGTTTTTTCAGCTTTTCAAAAGGTTAGATTCCCTTTTTCAACGAATAGTTTAATCACTGTTTTATATATATATATATATACATGTGAGGTTTTGAACTTTGGTCTTAATTTAACGTTTCATTACTTTTATTATTTGGACCAAATACTTGTCGGTAGCTTAACTTCAAAGAATTATTATGCAATATTGAAAACATGTAGAGTGTGAACAGGGTAGTGCACTTATTGACAAAGGGTCAAATAGAGATATGTATCCCCTAGTATGACAGAATCTTGGACCCGTGAATTGGGAGATCTTTAATGCGGCCAAAGTTGTAACCTTTGCAACCAATGCAGATAACACACCGAGGTACCCGAAAAAGACATGGTTTACCGTAGATAGATACCCTTGAAATTTCTTTACTTGTTAGTACTATTGTTATATTGTGGAAGAGTAACAATCGAGAGAGTAATAAAATGAGATATATATTGACGAGAAATGATACATTAATTCTGAATCCCAACCCTTAAATGGCAGCATATTACAAAGTAAGAGACAATTATTCTTTTTACTACTATTTTTTTTTTGGCTATTTGTTATCTTTTTTTTGGAAGGGCTTAAATATTGTAATATTTGTATTTACCATAGTTTGTGTATATAATTTGTTATTGTCTATATATTCCCGTGTATATTGTATCTGATAACACGATGATGAAATACAATCCCTATTATTCTAAGTCCAAATAAGGGCATTTGAGAGTTCCAATGGTTTATACACAATCCATACTTGATTTTACTTTGATACATATTGTATATGTACATTTTGTGATTGGTATATTATCTGCAGGCGTTGGACTCCCCTGTGGAACATATTTCTTCTAGTCGGCACAATAAAAGAACAAAAAAAGACACCTTATAACTACAGGGAAAAAAAAACACAAAGACACCTTATGCCAAACTAGTAGATATCTGTAGTTAATCTTTCAAATATACAACGTTGATTCCGGCAATATTCTAATGTAGTCCGACTCTCTCCTTCCTGGGCGCCGATTACCAAATACAATATGCGACGAAAACTTGTGCGACAACAATAATCATGATGTATATATATTGCAGAATCAGCTCAATCTAGAAGAAACTATCTACTCGCTTGGCCCTTATTATAGCTAGCTAGCATTTATGCATAACGTTAACTATATAGGAGAGTGGAGACGGCGAATAGCTAAAAATCTCTGCTCAATCATCTACTATGTAATAAGCAATATTCTCATCTTAGAAACTCTATTTGAGCAATATAACGACATTTGTGTTAAGGTCATCCATCAGCTAAAGTTTTCGCTCTTTCTCGAATCGCCATGTCCATTGTGATAGATGATGACATTAGGCCTGATGTCGAAAACCCTTGCGGGTTTCTGATCAGTTGCTGATGAACTTCTCGTACACTTCTGATCATTGGAATTATCTGAACCAGGTTCTTCACGGAGAAGGCCTGAAATGATTTCAGGCATTGGTTCATTCTTCATCACAGCTTTCCAATACATTGTTCCCGGACATCTTCTCCCATCAACCATAGCAGCAAACTGATCCATACACAAAAGATGTTGATTAATTAACCAAAAAGATTTTAAGGGAAAACATCCAGAGGAATGAAAATAATGGAATGGAAAAAACTTTACCATTACAAGGAAGATTAGAGCAAAGACTGCGGAAGATGGTCTCATTTTCTTCAACCTAAGAAGCTTGCAGCTTGTTGAACAAACTTAATTCAATGGGTTTCCTACAAGTTTGTGAGGTTACTTATGTATGGGGAAAATAGTTTATTTAGCTGACGAGATGAAGATAAAGTTGACCTCTAGAAAAGGAGAAAAGACATTACGAAAACTGGTGCCATGGAGCAGCAGTATATATAGTAGTTGGAAAAATTTTAGAAATGTGATCCACGGTCCACCCAAATACGTACATTATAGAAAAAACTTGATCATCATCATCATAAAGTACATTATAAACACTAATGACATTCGAATTCCAAGTGTCGGCATATTATACGCTATTCCTTCATCATAATCATGCATATTCATCTCTTGTGAGATTCTCGACGTTACAAAATAAAGTCCTTTTTTTTTCTTAAAAAATTAGTTTCCTCAATCTCCAATTTGAATTTATAATCTTTAACCTTACCCTCCGACTCTACACGTAAGTATGCATTCACATCATGAACAACATCTATATCATCATGATTCAGTCAAAGATTCAAGCCATTTCTCTTGGAAAAATATTAGCCAGAAATGTTATAAAATCTGCCATGAATGATTATACTTGATTCATAATTAAATAGTACGAGTTAAAAAAGAATTTAATCAAACGCAAATTAATTTATGCAATCTTATTCAATATTTACTAGATGCTTGTCTCGGAGGGATGCCCGAGTGACCGTCTGTATTTTCAAATAGTTAAATAAAAAATATAAAACAAATTATCCACATTCCGAGTTGTTATCCGAGGCTGCTGAACACAATCATAAATAATAACGTTTTATTTCCATTTTGAAATTACATGTTTCCATTGTCCTTTGAAGTTCCATATGTCAATAGAATGTAAAAAATAAATGTCAACTTCTAGGACACATAAATTGAGTTGGAGTCTCCATTTGAAATGATGAAAATACGCTTACAAAGCCCAAAATCAGAGCTGCAATTGTTGGACAGAACGTTTCTCCAAATTCCATGGATAGAGATGCCAAATATGCATTTGTAGTTCAGTCATCAAAACTGTCAAGAAACTTCACTAATAATCAGTCATCTTCCAGAGATCATAAGCTGTGATCTATAGGTCGGATTTGAATATTCAATATATAGTTGCAAAGTTGTAAGAACCAGCCACAATTTCTCTTCAGAAGTTAGTCTCAAATTCTAACTGTATACATGCTAATTATTGTTCAGTGTGAATTTCTACTTTTAGTTCAATTTGTACTAAAAATGAAAACACAAACTGGACAACAATTTCAGGATAGAGGGGATATAATTTATATACACAATAAGTTTATCCTCTTATCTAATTATTATGCTAGAATCTTCTAGCATTATATAGCTACAGTTCAGATTTTAAGCTGATCTCTGCCATATAACCCATGAAATAATGTGTAAAAGGAAAGTCAAAGATGATTAAAGGAGAATGGGAATCATGGCAACTTTAGCAGTAAACGGCAAAAAGGGAATAGTATATCCATCTTGAAAAGTCAACCATCCCAATATCCATCTTTAAAGGAAAATCAGTACCACTTAATATGATGCAAAATCTCCACAGAGAACAACAACAGAAGGGGACCTGGTTGGCCGATGGTGTGTACTTATCTAATCATCCTAATAAGTGTTTTGACTCAAAATAACACAACTAGAAAAGCCACTATGAATTCCACAATTGCAGTGCCCTCTACTATTAAATCGACAGGAAACAGTTAGAATGTGTAACATAAAATCTCAATATGAAAATGTCAAACTTAAATTTGTCATAGCTATTTAACCAAAAGAGCATATTTTAACTTTGCCATAGGCCCATAATCCGAAACATGTAAGCGAAATATCTTACTAAATTTTGTACCACACAACAATAAGGGAAAAAATTATTGGGTACAGCTACTGTATCCTGGTTTTTAGTGCAGTAAATACTAACACATCCCTATTTTAGTGAGATAACTCCCGTAGAAATTATCTCTCTTCCCCCCAAAATTATTACTTTATCTCTATTATTATATCTGGCTACATAATCCTATGCGATACCGCAGTTACATTGAATAATTTCTCCAATAAGAGAGTTATGACAACATTTTTGTTGGTTGTTCGAAATGCGGTATTTAAAAAAGGGGATTACATAGAATCTTTCCACACACCAAAAAAAAAAAAAAAAGTTCAGTTCGTTACAGTGATGGAGGATTGGAGGCCATCCACATGATATTGGTCGCTTGTGTTAGCCTCATCCTGAAATAGTATTATTATTTAGTACTGATTAATTTTATTTAAATGTAGACTATTTTGAGACCCGGCAAAACCTTTTTCAATCTATTCCAAGGATCCAAAATAGTCAAACTAGTACTTGATATGATGCCTCATGTCACAAGTTGACTTTCCTCCGATGTGTATGTCATTTTCAGCATTAGAATACTAGAATTATTTAGCACACAGATTAGGACAACGTAAATTATGATGAAAAATCCTCGTAATTTTCTTCTTTTGATGTTGCCAGCATATGTTGACTTTTATTTCACTAATACAAAGTAGTACTCTCTCATGTCCTTATTATAAGGTATTTTGATTTCGTCCTAGGTTCAACTTATAATTTTTTTTAATTGGAAAAAAAATCTTTAAAAATATATTTTCACATTCGTTGTGTTCTCCTAATGATTTTGAAATGTTTTTAAGGTTTTTATTTCAATTAAAAAGACATCGTAAGCGAAACTTAGGACGAAAAATGCCTCAAAACGCCTAACAATAAGGACATGAGGGAGTATGTCTTTATTTTATCCAATAAATATCATCATATAATAAAAAGACCATATTTGTTTGAAATGTGGCGAGGGAATCTAATATTATCACGATCTCTCACCGTTATCATAAATCTAGCCATCTCCAAAACTTTCTCGAATTAGTAAACATAGAAATTTATTTATTATATTTCTGAATTCGTCATCTCTAGATTACAAAATTACATGATATTCATGTGCCTTTATAATTTCTATAATTACTAGGAGTAAAATTTGGTTACTTTTCTCCTTTCTTTTCACATCAACTAGTATATGTCCCACGCTTTGCGCAGGTTTGTCAATGTTAAAAATTTATCTTCCAAAAGAATTAATTAGATAATGTAGTTATTAATATTTCTTAAAACCGTAAAATTTTTTTGATTAATCAATTTTAGATCAAAATGAGAGGTATTGATATTATTTATGAGATGTATATTTGTAAGATCTGGCTAAAAGTATTACAACAAAAATTTTGAAAAGTTGTATAATAAAAATTATCACCACTAATTAATGTTATGTTTGGATTAAAAAATACGTAAATTATGTCTAGATGCCTATGGCTTATTTATAGGCAAGGGGACTTTGGGGATTAGACACAATTAATCGTCCTTGAAAATGTAAAATCGATAAAATTGAAGACAAGGTAACACATAAATAGAACTTTAAGGGCTAAAATAATAATAAGTTAAAAGTGATGCTTAATGATCTCAATTAACAACACATGTCGATTATCTTTCTTTCCTTTATATATAATGATTTCCAAATATTCGAAACAAAAATCATCGTGCTTATTGTACTAACTCCATTAAATAACATTTGTTCTTATCTTAAAGAGAAAAGGGAGAATATCCCCTCATTGACTCTGATACATTTTGAACCCTTGCATTAAATAAAATAATAATACAGATATACGTACAACCATCCAAATAAAAGGTCCAATTCAGGTACATTTGCCCATTTTCATTTCTTTCTTTTCATCAATCAGAGGGAAACCAAGTTGTTCTGATGGATTCTTCTGGAATTAGCTCCATCATCTTTCTACTTGCCATTGTTATTCTCCAGGTAACAAAACCATTTTCTTTTTTTCATTTCAATTTGCCTCTCTGAATCAAAGCTTTTCTAATTTTGTGCAGAGTTTCTGGGCAGCAAGTGCCAGAGAGATGAAAAACATGCATCACCATCATTCATCTTCAGAATCTAAGCCAGATCTGAACGACCCAGAATTGCAAATTTTCTTCAGAGTTGATGATCTCAAATTAGGAGGAAAATTGCCCATCTATTTCCCAATCAAGGATTTATCTTCCGCCCCACCTCTTCTTTCCAGGGAAGAAGCAGATTCAATCCCTTTTTCATCTGCCCATCTTCCCAAACTTCTGGAACGATTCTCCATTTCGGATGGATCCCCACAGGCAAAAGCCATGGAAACTACACTTAATCACTGTGAATTTGAGCCCATGAAAGGAGAATCCAAGTTCTGCGCAACTTCTCTGGAATCTCTCCTGGATTCGACCCGTTCCGTATTCGGATCAAAAAGCGAATTCAAAGTCGCAACCACAATTCACCTCAACAAGAATTCAACTTCTCTGTTGCAAAATTACACAATTGTGGAGAACCCAATTGAGATTCCGGCTCCAAGAATCGTGGGTTGTCATCCTCTGCCTTATCCGTACTCTGTTTTTTACTGCCATAGCCAGGAGAGTGATAATAAGCTGTTCAAGGTTTCTTTAATGGGTGAAAATGGATGGAGGGTTGAAGCTCTGGGGATTTGTCACATGGATACTTCGCAATGGGATTCTGATCATGTAGCTTTCCTTGTGCTGAATACTCAGCCTGGAAAATCGCCTGTTTGTCATTTCTTCCCTGCTGATAATCTTGTCTGGTTTCCCTCACAATATGAAACCATGTAAATTGGTTTTGAAAATTTCGTGCTTTGGATTAGTGATAAGTAAATTTAACAATCCTTTTTAGTCTTTAGATATTTATGGCAGCAGTAATACAGTGGAATTTCTTCACCATTTGTAGTCATGCAATTTAATTTGTCACAAGTTGGACTTTCATTTTTAATAGAAAAAAATGATAAAAACACTGACAAATTATACTCAAATGGGGTAGTGACTCATGAAAAAACAAATACATCATTCTCCATTAAATAAGTGTACTTATTAATTAAGGGGTAAAATTGTAAACTTTTTAGAGAAAAATAAATTTTTAGCAGTAAAGTGGCAAAAAACTAGGGGCCAAGAATACTCAACATCGCTTAATATATTTTTTTCACTATACATTTTTTTTTTATAAACTGTGAATTTTATTGCTTCAAGAACAAGGCATTTACAAGTTTACACTATACAATTCAAGTGTACCGTGAGTACGTCATTAGGACGGTTCGAGTACGTCATTTTGGACGGTTTATTCTTGTATCAAATGGTGCTGGACCTTTTCTAGTAATATTAATGGAGTTTGTTTTCCCTCAAAAAAAAAAAAAAATCAAGTGTATTCCTATACTTTTTAGGAATCGAACATCATCACCACTGCCATTTCTAAATTTGTATGAGAAGGACCATCTAATCTCATCTTGTAGTTGAACAAATCTGCTTCCTGTATCCACAACTTTGCTTCCAAACTTTCGGGAATTCCTTTCTGTCCATACGTGATGGACAGCTGCATTAATACAGGCAAACAACACTTGCCTCTTCACTGCTTTATGTTTCCAAATTCTCAATAATCTTCTTGCATTCAAGTTTACAATATCTGTTCTCAGTTCCAGCCAGCCTTTAATCAGTTTCATCATATTAGTGAGTATTCACATTCAAAGAAGAGATGCTTTGCTGTTTCAACTTCCTGTTGGCAAAGAATACATTGTTGATCATCTATCACCATGTGCATTTGCATCAGTTTTGTCAATGGTAAGCAGTTTGCCTTGGCAAACCAACCAACTCAGGAAGCTATGTTTAGGAACAGAAAACTTACTCCAAATAATAGGAGCATGCATCATCTTTTCTTTCCTGCCTCTGAGCCACCACTAGTATTCACTCCTTGCATCATACTGTTTTCCTCCATTTCCTGTCCATTTGCCATCAACTATACCATCCTTAATGTGATCTCTGACCTTCATTAATGTTTTCCAGTGCCAACTACAGTCAGTAGGAGCTTGATACTCCCAAATGATATAGACAAAACTCAAATCCCTTCATTAATAGGAGTATCTCTATACATATTATTTTCCTTATTTTTAATACAAATTAAAAATGCCAGGACGGGGAAATGTATCCTATACCCTGTTGAGGTTAAGGAATAGTTGCATGAAGAAATTAAATAAAGTTGTCATTTTTTTCACTCATTTACTGTAAATGTTCATATCAAATGATATCGACAAAACTCAGATCCCATCACTCTGTTGTATTTATTATCAATAATTTATATAAATTCTATTTACTGCAGACATATATGTATATCACTTATCACAGTTTAAATGTAATCTTGATTATATCACCAATTAAGTGATAAATTTTTTAAAATTATATAAATTTTATGACTGAATCTTCCTACAGGAATCAACAATGTCACGACCACTGCAATAAACACACAAGCTAACCAGTAGAATGTAATCCACTCAAAAAAAAAAAAAAATACCAACAAAAGAACCCTTCCGTATATCAATAAATTATCTAAATAATCTACAGATAATTTTTCGAATAGTCTCACTTTTGGAATGATAAATAACACGAGCGAGAAGAGGAGAAAGAAGTACTTTTCATTGGATTAGGTTTGAGAAAGAGAAGAGATAGTTTCATAATTGTAATCAACCAATTTTATGACATAACTGAATGCAATTAATGCATGATTCATATTTTTTTTTTTTAAAAAAAAATAGATGGTACTAGCGAGAATCGAACTCTTGACCTTTTGATAATCGACTAATCCTCCCATCCCTCACGATTGATATTCCTTTCGGTCCTTATTAGAGTAAAAACTCTCATTGTTGAGACCACCAATTTATTAATTTAAAAAATTATTAAATAATTAATAAAATTAATAGATTATTAATTGAAAAAGTTTCTTTTATGAAAAGAGAATGCGTACTTATAAATTAATTAATCTTTTAATTATTTTTACCATCTGAAAGCAAGTCTTGAAATTTTTCTTGATACCAAATTCCATCCATATTTCACATTATCTTCAAGGCTAAAGACAAAAGTATCAATGATTTATATTTTACAAAATATTCATTGTTATTATTGTTATCATTATTCGTACAGGAAAATTTTGCAGGAAATTTTGACAGCAAATGAATCATATCCGTCCCTGCTTATATATTTCATTAAGAAGTTTTTGTATTTAAAGGTTAGGAGATAGTTAAGACTCATTCACTTCATTTATTGTACATTTCTTTATCAAATATTCTCTGCATGTATCACTACTCTTAAGTTATAGTATTAGATATATATATATATGAATTTTTTTAAAAAAAACATTATTATTTTATTATTTTATCAATTCTACTCAGTTTTTATAATGGCCCCAAGTTGGGACGAGAAAAATGATTAATATTCAAAATTATTAGTTTAGCGATATTTTATTGTATATGACATAAATAATTACCTTCTTAAAAAAAAGACATAAATAATTACTCTTATACAATTAATAAAAATAATTAAATTAGTTTCTTATTAGTGACTTATCTATATTACCAAGGTTTAAAAAAAGTTCTCGCACTTCCTAGTAAAAAATATGGGACACAATCAAATTAAAGTGTAATCAACTGAAAAAGGTTGAACTTGAAAATGCAATATCAATGAAATCTTAAAGACATCAAATGCCTTCTAAATAAAATCACGAAAAAGTTAGAAAATATCTTATAACAAAAACCGAAGAAAATACCAATTAATAACGGTAAAGAATTTTAGTGACACTTTAGTATTATACTTTTTATGACATTAATTAATACAACACTCACCTGCATTATATACCCATTGTGATTATCTTACTGTCTAATTAGGATGATTGTCAATTATAGATATGGGTATCAATAAGCTAATTTAGTACAATACAAGAATACCCTCAAAATTAAATTATCATAGCAAGTGCAACATAAAAGTGATACAAAAGATTCGATGAGAATTCCAGTATAGACTTTAACAATAATAGATTTGTTGGTAATCATTCTTGTTACATTTCATATTATACAATCTAATTATTTCTTGTAGATTACATAATGTGTTATATATGTTCCGCAAACACATATTCTAATGGTAAATGATTTTTATTTTAATATTTTATTTTATTTCTTGATATTATGTTTTTAACAAATTTTGCAGATATTAAATTTTTTTTAAAAAATGAAAAGTTTAATAATATAGTTTCTAACAAAAAATAGTGAACCAGTAGGTTTAAAACATATTTCTGTGAAAATGATTATAAATGGTGTATTCTATAGTATATATATATATATATATATATATATATATATTATACTAAGAGAGAAATCAGAGAGAGGTTTCAAGAAAAATTTTTACGTGGCAATCCTACGTGGCAACATATATATATTATACTAAGAGAGAAACTAGAGAGAGGTTTCAAGAAAAATTTTTACGTTGCCACGTAGGAAAAAATCCTATGTGGCAATTTCTCAAAATTTTGAGAAAAAAAAGTTTCAGCATTTAGTTAATAGCCCCTAAAAAATATCGTAATAGCATATTAGCACATTCATCATAATTATCTAAATTAATTTTTTTTAATTATCTAAATCAATTAACATTAAATATATTTATAACTATCCATAATTATTAAAGTTTCCTATCAGAATGTTTCAATCAACTATTGTGGGAATTATTGAATAAAGGAAAGAGCAATCAATCCAGATCAAAATGGCGAGATAAAAATGGGATAAGAACAATTTAATTGTGAGAAAGAATAGGAAATAAAAATATGATCCTATTTGATGATGTCAGAAGGATTTATAAATTTGATTAGAAATTGTGACATGTTTAAAAGAAAATGCAAAACAAGGCAAATGGAGAAGAGAGGAATAGTAGTAAGACTTTTTTAGGTGTCACTTTTCATTTCACTTTAGCCTAAATTTATAGGCTTTACAAAGCCATAACACGTTACGTCTAATTTACTACTCTATAACTTTTACATAGATAAGATAAGAGTAGTAATGTAGTTTAATGTAACTAGATAGATAGAGTAGCAAAAACAAAAGACATCCACAAATAAATGTATTTCATAACACTCCACATTGGATGTCTGTTATGGAATAATGCCTCATTAAAACCTTTACTAGGAAAAACCCGTTGGGAAAAAAGTCCTAGTGAAGGAAAAAGAGTACACTATCCAAATGCGACACTGCCTCGTTAAAAACCTCGCTATGAAAAACCCAATGGAATAAAAACCTTGATCAAGGGAAAAAGAGTACAGCATGCAATCACTCCCCCTGTTGAGCACATCACTTGACATCCTTGAGTCGTCGTATCCCAATTTTGTGGACTAGTTTCTCAATAGTTGAAGTCGGTAATGATTTAGTGAATAAGTATGCCAGTTTGTCGCTTGAGCGAATTTGTTGAACAATGATTTTACCACTCTTTTGAAGATCGTAAGTATAGAAGAATTTCAGAGATATATGTTTTGTTCTATCACCTTTGATATATCCTTCCTTCAATTGATCAATGCCCGCAGTATTGTCTTCATACAAGATAGTAGGGGCATTCTTGTCTAAATGCAAACCACATGATCCTCGAATGTGATGAACAATCGATCTTAACAGACACATTCTAGACTTGTTTCATGAATTGCTAAAATCTCGGCATGATTGGAAGAAGTAGCAGTTAGAGTTTGTTTCATAGAACGTCATGATATAGTTGTTCCTCCACATGTAAAAAGATACCCTGTTTGCGACCAATCATTATGAGGATCGGATAAATATCCAGCATCGGCGTAACCGATCAGATCCAACTTGAATGCTTTTGAATAATAAAGACCCATATCAATCGTGCCTTGAAGATACCGAAATATAATTTTAATACCGTTCCAATGCCTTCGCGTAGGTGCAGAACTATATCGTGCTAACAAATTAATAGTAAATGATATATCAGGCCGTGTATGACTAGCGAGATACATCAATACTCCAATAGCACTAAGATATGGTACTCCTGGACCAAGTAGTTCGTCATTTTCCCCACGATGCCGGAAAAGGTCTT